TATTTATAATTAAAAAAAAATTATGATTATGATATAGGTGGTAATCATAAATATATTACCAATTGGGTTTTTTTTCAAAATAAGGCCTAGATACTTCATTGTATTGGTCCAACCAAGCCAACCATAAATCATTCTAATTGAAAATATTAATCTGAATACACCCCTAGAAATGGATCTCTAATTGCACTTCATTACACTTCACACTACAAATTTTTTATAATCCAATCAATCTTTATGGGACAAAACAGGGGATATCTCAATCGGGCAAGAGAACGAGAGAATCCCATATGACTCAATATATTTGACAAGTCGCACTATAAGTCAACCCAACTTGCATTGTCATCTCCTAGAACTTGAAAAGAAACCCTTAGAACACCAACAGGCATAAAGGAAAAAGATTGTAATATTATATTTCATTTTGATTATGAAAGCATAATACGTAATAATTGTCTTGATAATATATAAAATTATATTTCACTTTGATTGTGAAAGCATAATACGTAATAATGATTTTAATAATATGAAATATTTGGGTTATCTAACCCTAAGGTTCCCATCGCAAAAGTATAAATATATTTCCTATACCAACTGGAACTCTAGCTTTTATACTTGCCTAGCCTTTTTCTCATTTTCACTTTTTAATTAAGCACTGATTTAAGTGTTGGATTACATACGTCAAAAAAATTTTTAACCTTTATCGTTAACCCATTTTTTTTTTATGCTTTCAGATTTTTACCATTTGTAAACAGCTCAACACCACCATTTAGCATCAAAGTTTCAGGCAATTGAAATGGAAGGTTGGGAATTGGATTTCGGGTCGGTATCAAACTAACGCTAATTATTCAGCTTATATTTCCTTTTTTAATCCATGTTAGGACGTCCAAATTTGTTTGGCTATGATGTATTATTTTCTGCAAACTAGTATATGATATTTTGACTTAAAATTTCGCTTATAATTTAAATAAATATACTTGATTATGTATATTCATGTTTGATTTTTTTTTTTTGGCCAAAATTCATGTTTGATGTTTGATATTTTATGTCTCTTTCTCTAACAATAAAAGATAAATTAGTAACATTGTACGAAAAAAGACGAGAGTATGCATTTTGCTTATGTTAATTAGGATTATTGTTTTACTCAGAGTAAATTAAGTTAAGATGAATGACATCTTTATTCACTCTTTTTTATTTAATTAATTATATTTCAAAGAGTTTTTTTTTTTTTTTTAAAGTAGATTTAAAAGAGTTAATTTGCTAGCTTTTGTCAAGAAAAAATCAGTTTTTGTAAGTTTTACAGTAACAAAACTTTCACGTCATTAATAATGTGGGTTGGGTATATTTTATATAAGATTTATATTTATATATATATATATATTGTTATTAATTCACATATTATCACATTATTAACGAATAAATTTTAAAATATTAAAAATATTAAAATGTACGTGATAAAAATTAACTTTAAATTATTTTTAAAAAAATTTTTTAACTTTTAATTTTACTCGTTAATAACCTTTTAACTTATGATTTAATGATAATATAAAAAATATATATCATATCAGGCCAGAGCCAGATTAATATCAGGACGTAGAAAATCTTGCAGGGATTTTGTGTTTTTCTAGGTTTGAAAACTCGTTCCTCAATAATTTTCTAATTGAACAAAAACTTATCCCCACCCCAACTACCTTGTGAGAAACTTTTCATATCAGGTCTTAACTCTTTCAACTAACGAATTGCCACCAAGTAGCATATAAACCGTGGGAGTGTGGCGAAAATGAAGAAATAAGCAGCAGAGAAACATGGCTACTAAACCTGGAGTTCTCACAACTGGCCATGGAAACCTCTTGGGAACTTCAAGGTACTGCTTTATTGATTGTTCATTGTTCTTCCTTCGGGTAATAACTGTAGTATGCTATATACATACATACATATATATATATATATATGTATGTATAATACTCACTGCTTGGACGCATTTGTTTGCATGGTGTGGTAGTATGTTATCTTGGCTCCATTGGCGGTTCACAGCACTTACTGTTTCGTGAGTAAAGGAGAAAAGGAGGCAGACCTTTTCTACTTCCTGATATTCCCATTTCTTCTCACAATATTCTTTGACAATCAGATATGGGTTTCTTATTCTCGTTACAGAAATGCCAAAGGAAACAACAGGGTCGTTGATAAGGGCATCGAGTTTGAGCAAGTTGACAGAGAAAGCAACCGGTTAATTACTCCTAATTATTAGCTCTGTTGTTTCTCTTTTCAATTTGAGCCTAATATCATGAAAATGATGGATGGTTTGGCACTTGGCATGCAGGGATGACCAGATCATATTAAATGGACGTCTCTCCTACTTGGCGAATATGATAATACCAGGAGCATCTCACTTGCCCATATGAAAATCAGATGGATTTATAATCACAATTCTACTCCGTATGGGCCCTGTGGAGTTCCTCTATTATTCGCTTCACAGGGCGCTGCACCATCATTACCTCTACTCTCGCTATCACTCCCATCACCATTCTTCCATTGCCACCGAGCCCATTACCTGTGAGCTAGCACCACCCAAATGGCATTTAGCATTCTTTAAAAGAATAATGATAATCAACTATATATACGTACTCTCATATAATTTATTAATTCAAATGTAACACAAATGAATTACCACATATGGTTCTTTTGGCAGCGGTCATTCACCCATTTGCAGAAGATGTTGCATACTTGCTCTTTGCAATCCCATTATTGACAGTGGCTTTTACGGGCACTGCTTCCCTCGTAGCTGTATTTGGTTACATAACTTACATTGATCTCATGAACAATATGGGACAGTGCAACTTCGAACTGGTTCCAAACTGGGTTTTCTCTATTTTCCCACCTCTCAAGTATTTCATGTATACCCCCACGTAAGTTTTCCGTTGATGAGTTTCTCTGAGCCATTATGTACCCATTACCATGCTTATATACTTTACCTGAATTAAACTGTTTGTTTTTATGGTATATGGCAGATTTTACTCTTTGCTTCACACTCGATTTCGGACCAACTACTCGCTGTTCATGCCGGTTTACGATTACATTTATGCTACAGTGGACAAGTCCTCAGATGCTTTATACGAGTCTTCGCTCAAAAGGCAGGAAGCGTCACCCGACATCGTATATTTGACGCATTTAACTGCGACAGACTCCATCTATCATTTGCGCCTTGGCTTTGCTTCCTTAGCTTCTAAGCCATTCGCTTCAAAGTGGTATTTGATGGCGATATGGCCTGTGACATGTTGGTCTGTGGTCTTCACTTGGTTTTATGGCCGTACATTTATTTCAGAGAGGAATGCCTTGGATAAGCTCAAACTGCAATCTTGGGTGGTACCAAGATACACTATGCATGTAATAAAAACATATTTCTCATCTCTTTTTCCTCTGTAATAATTTTTTCTTTTAGATTTGATTTACATGAACGTGTCGCAGTACCTTTTGGGGAAGCAAAAAGAAGTTGTCAATAACTTAATTGAAGAAGCTATACTGGAAGCCTATAAGAAGCAAGCAAAGGTACTGAGCTTAGGCCATGTGAACCAGGCAAGAAGTTTATACCGAGCCTAGCTTTTAATTTCATCACTCCTTAATTATTTCAAAGTTATTTAAAAAAGCTTATTTTCATAGTCCTTTGAAATTAATGTCAATTAATGCAGAATGAAGATCTTAATGGGAATGGAGAGCATATCCAAAGGCACCCTAAGCTTAAAATCAAGCTTGTGGATGGAAGCAGTTTAGCAGTGGCCGTTGTGGTGAACAGCATTCCCGAAGGAACAAACCAAGTACTCCTCGGGGGCTAGTTTTCTAAGGTTTCTTATGCCATAGCTCTTGCTTTATGCCAAAAAGGTGTCCAGGTATTTCAATCATTCTAAAGGTCAAAATTAGTTCATGTTCAAGAGTAAAGGTCGCTCTTAAACGGCCATGACATGATGAATAGAAACATCATACCTTAATGCAAATTAAGTACAATTTTGATGATGAACAGGTAGGCACAAAAAATGAGGACAAATACAAGCAGTTCGAGCAGAGTGACAGGTTTGGAAATAACGTGGTTCTTCCAAATAACTACGACCAAAAGGTAAAGGTAAAAAAGAATATGACTAGGTTGTAAGAACTCGTTAAGATCAGTTAAATTGTTATTAAAACAAAAATAAATATCTAAAGCATTTGCAGATATGGTGGTGGGGGAGGGATTCACTGGAAGAGAACAGTTGAAGGCAACAAAAGGGACATTATTTATTCCCTTCTCACAATTCCCACCAGAGAAAGTGCGCAAAGACTGCTACTACCACACTACTCCCTCCATGGTGGCTCCTAAATCTCTTGAGAACTTGCATTCTTGCGAGGCCAGTATAGAGATCTTCCTAATTTTCTGACCATGTTTTTCATCTTTGGCAACTGGATATGTGCATGCATATCAAAATATGTGGCTTAAGTTGCCAGTTTTTACAATTATTTTCTCTTAATTATTGAAGATATGTATATAAAAATGATATAGAATTGGCTGCCAAGAAGAGTGATGAGTGCATGGCGGATGGCTAGGATCATTCATGGTTTGGAAGGATGGAACGTTAATGAGTGCGGTCAAACCTTGTTTAGCATGGATAAAGTTTGGAAAGCCAGTCTGGAGAACGGGTTTCGTCCTTTGCCAATCTCCATTTAATCAAAGGCCTGGCCTTGTCTCGCTACAATACAAGCATATGCATTACTCAAAGATTGTGAAATCTCTACAAGCAAATGCCCATGTTATATGCCAATGTAAAAAAAAATCGTAGTAAACTTCATTATGCACGTGGGAGAATTGAACTGGGTCAATCGGACTTGTATTATGAAATTGAGATGCCGGTCCCACTTTCAAACCTGGACAAGAACAGTTAATCAAGAACCAACCATAATGTTATTTCGACCAAATTGAGACCAAAAGTGTGAGAATTAAATGAATTTAGACAGTGTGCAAGCGATAAGGAAATGTTAAACATTCCTGCTTTCCCTTCATTGATACAAGAAAAGACATTAGAAACCTTTGACTGTCGAGAAACCGTTCCAAACAAGAACAGGAAAAAAAAGTCATGCTGCTTAAAAACGATAAAACGAGAAATACTTCTTACCAAAAACAAGTAATAAGTTGTGAAACAAAAATAGCACTTCCCGAATCCGCATTCAGACATCTGACAAGAAAACTTGGTTGTAATGATATCTGAATCTAACTCAAAAATGAGATAGCAGAACATAAGTTATATGGTTGGTTACTATCAGAACAGTCTATCTGAATTCTGAAACAGTGAACACACACAACTCTACCAAAAAACTGACAGGCTAGAGATAATTTATCACTTAAAGCACTTGGCATCCAACAGAGGCTCTCCCTCGAAAGGTTCACAGTCTTCAATCATCTGATTGACCCGTTCCTTCTGTGCTTCGTCTGAAATGTCAACCTTCTTCCACTCATAGAGTTCCATGTCATAGCACTCATCAAGGACAAATTGAGGAATCTTTTGCCCACGGAAAAGCCATAATCCCTTGACCTTGAATGGAGGCTCAGCCCCAATCACCAACATCTTCCCAAATGCATACTTGCGCGCCAAATCCATTCTCTGAAGGAATCCTCCTACCTTGTTCATAGTGACAAATGAGACTGTATTCTCCTCATTGTACTTGTAGTCACAGAACCAAAGTGAGTATCCCTCAGGATCATACATGTCCCAGAATCCTGTAATACACGAGAAAAAAGTATCAGAAATCACAGTCCAAAAGATCTTCATTAAGAGGAAGAGAATTACAATCAAAACAAATACCTTTAATTGCAACCTCACGGAAATTTGTCTTTGTATTAGAGTACAACCTCTTCCAATCATCCAGTACCATCTTACTGGGAGGCAGCAAATCAAGAGGATTCTTTGGTTTGGGCTTTGGTGCCTCTTCCTCCTCACCAGCCTCTGTCTTTGCTTGCTGTTTCTCGACCTCCTTTTTGGCTTCTTTCTTTGGTTCACCCTTGGCCTTTGATTTAGTTTCCTTTGGCTGGGCGGCAGGCTTCTTCGATGCAACAGGTAGCACAAACTCAGCCTGCTTCACTTCACCAAGAATCTTCTTTAAATTTGGTTGATTAACCATGGTCCAGAAGTACCTCTCAACATGAGGGAACTCTGAGGTAAAAGTCTTAGTCATGATCTGGGAGAAACCCAAATAGAGGTTGCATGTCATGATGATGTCAGCAAGGCTGACTGAATGTCCAACCAGGTAGGTGTTGGAAGCAAGGTGAGAGTTTAAAGCGCCCAGTGCTCTCCTCAATGCAGCAATAGCGGCTTCCTCAGCCTACATGCAAAATACTCAAATAAATTAAAAAATAAAGTAAAACTAGATGGGTAAAACTGACACTATCAAAGGAATGGGGATCCAACATCCTAATCTCTTCCAAATAAATAAAAAAGAAAAAAAAAAGCCAGCCTAGTTGATAATCAATTCAATGAGAATGCTTTTGTACCAAAATTACTTAGATTTCTATTTACTCATGTCCATTCATTTCAAGAAACTATGAACAGAAAAACACTACCATATTAAGTGCCTACTGGAGTTGTTGTCCTGCTACAATTTAATCCTCTTTAAAATGTATAAAACAAAAATCATAAACTAGTAATCCACACTATTTTTCCCATCTCTCCTTGAAATGCTTTATCTTATAATTGTAAAGAAACAATACCACGTATGATCTTAGCAAATAAAACCAAATTAAAATGACACAAGAACCCGAGGAGGAAAAAAGTGTCAAAAGCTACAGTAAATATAACTTACAGGAGGAAGGTAAACACCATATCCCATTCTTGGATAGAACCATTTTGAAATATTAGCATCAACTTCCATTGATGCAAAATCAATCCACTGCTCAATATGACCCTGAGAAAAATCAAGCAAATATATACAAACAATAAGGACAACGGTTTAAAATAGCAACAAGAAGATCATGGTAGTAGAAAAATCTTACAAAATCAATCAATGTAGAACTACATAGAGGGTTGTCAGCCTTTAAGCGAGCAACTGCAAAGGAAAGGATACCAATAAGTAAGCAAACATTAACAGAAGAAAATGTAAGCTATGAAGTCAGCGTGTCTTCTAACCATAACGCGCAATAGCATTGCTCTCAAATATAGGACCCTCAGGTGTTTCCAACACGGGAACCTAGAAAATTCACAGATATTTTTTCAGTAAATTATAAAGAAAAAGGTTACAACTTACATATACAAAAGTATTTTCTCTAAATTTAATCCATTAATAGGTATGGTTACCTTCCCCATAGGGTTCATCTTGAGGAACTGAGGAGTCTTATTTGAGACACCCATCTCAAAGTTCTCAACCAATTTGACCTCCACACCACTGTATTCAGCAGCAATGAGTGCCTTGAAGGCATTTTTGTTTGTTTTTCCCGCATGCAAAACCTGCATGTAAATCGAACAACCACATTAATGAAGAACAACCAAATGATTTAAAAAGTTAATTCCAATATCAACCACCACCACAAATCCTTACAAAAAAGAAAACTATTAATCTAACCAAAAAAACCAACAAATGATTTTTCTTTTCAGAATTTTTTTTAAAGATCATTCATTTTCACATTCTAATACCGTAACCAATCGCCACTGATCTAACATTATATTCCATTTTTCTACTTCCATTGATCCAAAATGCTACTTAAAAATATCACTTTGAATTGCACTCACTTCACCGTAATCATTTCGTTTCTATTCTTTTTTTAACAGCTAAATTACCAAAATCACTGAAAATTAAAAAAAGAAAAAACTAACCAGAGCCATGGCTTGATTGAAAACAAGGATGCTCTGATTTCAGATCTCGAAACAAAATGAAAATGTATCAGCAGCTATTTTCCAAGATAACGCGTGTTAAATAAGAGGGAACCTTGAAGCTGCAGCGAACAAGAGAGTGTGAGAAAAAGTAGAGGTAAATATTGGAGGCGTACTAGGGTTTTTCTAGAGTGATAAGAGGGGCATATGCGTTTGGAATCTTTTTTTGATCCGTTCGGATATGGGTTCGGATCCATGTCCAGATTTGTAATCACCTTTTTGTTTCGGGTTTGCATTTGAGGCTGATAATTTAAGATTTATATTTGATAGTCTATAAATGACATACATTTTTAACGTATAGATAATGCCGTTAAATCATTAAATGACTATAAAAAAAATTAATTTTAAATATATTTTAAAAATTAAATGTATTTATTTCTTCCAGCTTTTATTTTTTTTATTTTTTTCTTCTTGAAATGTTGCAAAATTATTTTTTTTATAACGTTTAGAAACTCTTATTTTGTTTTATTTTTAATTATTTTATGACTTTTTTATTTTTTTGATTAAATTTTAATATAAGATATATTAAAATCAATTTTTTTTAATTTCGTGAAAATCAATGATGAGACGGAGCATATTTTAAAATTTTAAAAATTAATTTTTTATTAGATGTTACGGTTTATTGATATTTCCATATTTACAAATATGCAAGACAGGCAGCAGAGAAACATGCATATGAATAAAAATGCTGATATCCGAGTCATAATTACTAAAAATACTTACTGTGATATTAAAACAAGGATTGCATTTACAAATATAGGATAACAAGCACTGGTCAAGTACACTATAAACACCAGAATAAGATATCTACAGGATATTAGCGGGGCAAACCACTTGAAGCACTTGGCATCCAAAAGTGGCTCTCCCTCTAAAGGCTCGTAGTCCTCTATCATCTAATTGACACGCTCCTTCTGAGCTTCATCTGCGATGTCAACCTTCTTCCACTCATAAAGTTCCATGTCATAGCACTCATCAAGGACATATTGGGGGATTTCTTGCCTACGGAAAAGCCACAATCCCTTTACTTTGAATGGCGGTTCACAGCCTATCACCAGCATCTTCCCAAATGCATACTTGCGTGCCAAATCCATCCTTTGTAGGAACCCGCTTACTTTGTTCAGAGTGACAAACGAGACTGTATTCTCCTCATTGTTGTTGTAATCACAGAACCAAAGAGAGTATCCCTCGGGATCATACATGTCCCAAAATCCTGTTGCAACAGTAATATAAATATCGATATTTGTCATCAAGCAAGGAGGAATAGGAAAGAAGTCTATGATGAACACTTGGGATAACTTTGATTGCAACCTCACGGAAGTTTGTCTTCATATTAGAGTACAGCTTCTTCCAGTCATCCAGTATCATCTTACTAGGAGGCAGCAAATCAAGAGGATTCTTAGGTTTGGGGCTTTGGTGCCTCTTCCTCCTCAGCAGCCTCTTCTTTGGGCTTTGCAGGCTCTTTCTCAACTTCCTTCTTAGCTTCTTTCTTTGGTTCATCCTTGGTCTTTGGTTTAGCTTCTTTTGCTTGGGATGGCTTCCTAGATGGAATAGGTAGTGCAGATTCTGTCTGCTTGACCTCACCCAGAATCTTTTTAAAATTTGGCTGATTAACCATTGTCCAGAAGTACCTCTCAACATGAGGGAATTCTGACGCAAAACTCTTAGTCATCAGAAGGGTGAAACCCAAAAGAAGGTTAATTGTCATCACGAGCAAGGGTCACAGAATGTCCGACTAGGTAAGTGTTGCAAGCAAGATGAGCATTTAAATCACCCAATGCTCTCTTCAATGCAGCAATTGCTTCTTCCTCGGCCTAGATGCAAAGTCATCCATAGAAGTTAAAGGATGGTAAAATCATAAATGCAATAACATTAAGATCTGAAGAACAATGTAATCATATGCTTAATCGTTTTTCATTATCAACAGAGACATACTAGACTGAGGATAAAAGCCTCATCATTGAAAATCATGTTCATGCCTAGAGACACAGGAGGACTAGACATGGATGTCTTACACCTATATACGTAATTATAGCATGACTTAGCTTACCTTAAAAAGTAATAACTAAAAAAATACTGTTAAATATGAAGAACGCAAGTGAATTGAAAAACACAACCTATTAATGCTGGTAATTTGGTGAACGTATTCTATCTGGAAAGTTCATAAAAATAAAATTATGTTTCAACTTTTAACACTGAACAAACATTTTGACACATTTAATTAACAAAAAGTTGACGATTTATAAGGCAGAGTATATTCACTTAACATATTCAATAAACTTTTGATAAAGAAATGGAAAATGAGGGATGAAAAAATATGAAGATGAGACAAAAAAACATACTAGAGGAAGATACATGGCACGTCCCATTCTTGGTCTAAACCAAGAAACCATATTAGCATCAATTTCCAGTGACGCAAAATCAATCCACTGATCGATAAGGGTATAAAAACACACCCAAAAAAAAAACCCCTTATATAGGGGTAGCCAAATGAAATCATAAAAAATCTCATCAAAATGCAAAAAAACAAAAGAGAAATCCTACACAGTCATACGGAGAAGAACAACATAGAGGAGGATTGTCAGCCTTCAAGCGAGTAACTAAAGAAACAAGGAAAAGACAAATGAGTTTTAAGTACAGTATTATACAGAGGATAGAGCAAGGAGTGAAAAGGAATAATGAGTTCAAACCATATCGAGCTATCGCATTGCTTTCAAATATGGGGCCATCTGGTGTTTCCAATACAGGAACTTAGAAATTTTCATTTATTTTCTTTTCAAAATGCTAAAATTAAATACATCAAAAGCATTTCCTCCAATGTCAACATCATTATATATACATTATATATACATGTACCTTCCCAATAGGGTTCATCTTGAGAAAGTCGGGAGTTTTATTTGAGACACCATCTCAAAATCATCAGCAAGTTTGACATCTATACCACTGTACTCTGCAGCAATGAGCGTCTTGAATGCATTCTTATTTGTCTTCCCCGCATGCAAGACCTACAAAATATGATATAAAATTGAAAGTAAAATGGTTTGTAATGGAATGCACAAACTCAGTCCGACAATTAATTGCACAACTATAATGTTAATGCTTAAGTCTGGTTGAATCAGAGTCATATACCATTTTAAAACTGAATGCGTAAAAGGTATAACAAAGAGCATGATTTTACTTCTATAAGAAGTCATGATGTTTGAATTGGCATTACTTTTCTGTCATACGTTCATGTTTTTAATTAAATATGATATTTGCTTGTTACTATGTGCTATTAACAAAAAGCAAGCAGCAAAATCTTCAAAAACAACAATCAAAGGGATTTAGGATGTGTTTGGTATACAAGATTATGATAAGATAAAATAAGATGGCATTATGAATAGGATTAGATTAAATCAAGTCATTTTATCTTGTGTTTGATATGTGCAAAGATAAGATTAAGATAATTTATTTATTTATATCATTCCTCAAAATTTATAAATTTAATCCCACAGATTAAAAATAATTCTTTATTGAATCATCTTATACAAAAAAAATAATTAATCCTCTTTGTAATCCTATTCCTTTCTTTAAATACAAATCAAACATAATATAAGATTATTATTATCCTATCGTATCCATCATTTTATGCACCAAACATGATCTTAAATTTATGGATCACCTAGGACACCAGCAGCACAAAAACCCAACATGCGAAACCAGTTCACTCGATTAAACAAGATACAAAGAGAAAATTTTGTTCAACTATAGTTCAGTCAATAAAGCCTAATTTTTTTTTTCTTTTTGAATCAAACTAAGAAGAAATGAAGAAGAAAACAACTCACCAGAGCCACCGCGAATTTAGATCTGGAAACAGAAACAAAGGCAAAATTCAATCAAAACAAAGGCACTAAACGATCTTCCCCGACAGAGGAGTGAGGTTGTTGCTGGATGTTGACACTTAAGAGAGATAAAGTTCAAAAATTAAGGTTTTAATTGTAAGCGGACATTCGCTAACCCCATTTAGTTGTACAAACTAAGGTCAAAACAAAAGTTAGTACATTTTTCCCATTATACCCCTATCGTTAGCACTAATACATAGAAACATTTAGGGCGTTTCAGTCATATCGCCTACCCCTCATCAACGCGCAAAAACAGCGGGTATACTTCACGTGTTTTCTCTTCAATTGACCGTTCCTTGGAAAGACAAGGACTTTCCTGCTATTTTTTCAATTTCTATTTTTGTCCTCAACGCTTAAAAAAAAAAAAAACCAGAAAGTAAAAAATGGCGAGGAGAGCGGACGAGGAATATGATTACTTGTTTAAGGTTGTATTAATCGGCGATTCTGGTGTCGGAAAATCTAACTTGCTTTCCCGATTTACTCGCAACGAGTTTTGCTTGGAATCTAAATCTACCATTGGAGTCGAATTCGCCACCCGCACTCTCCAAGTAAATCTCCCCTTTTTTGTGCTTCTAAGCATGCAGTAGATCTGACGTGTTCGTTGTTTGATCTTTCTTTTTGTTCGAATATTTTCTGTTTTTCTTGAATTTTTTTTACAATATTTTAGATTGAGTCAATCAGTGATGAAATTAACTGAAATAATATGGAGTTGATTGAGTCTCATTGTCTTGGTTTTGATCATTTTTAATGGATTCTTATCGTATTATGATTGAATTGTGTTAAATCTTTGACAAAAGTAAATAAATTTGTAACATTTCTTATTGATTTGCAACTCTTGCCACTGTTTGAGTCAGGTTTTGTTTTGTTGCGTTGTCTCTTAGTCAATCTATCAATTCTTTAGGGGAAATAAAGAAACTTGTGATCCCATCAGTTTATTATCAGCCTTTGCTAATCCACGTTTTGATGTGAATAAAGTATGCAACTTTTCTTGGTTACCGATGTTTATGATTAAAGGTTTTTTTATTTTTTTATTTTTACAAAAGACGTTGCGGTTTGAGGAGTTGCATGTGCTGAGATTTGAATTCCAAACCTGGTTGTCATCTCTTAAAGATGGCTGCATGAACCGATGGAGCTAAGTTCTGGGTTCTTAAAGGGTATTCTTTTTAACACTTAAAATGTTGAATGGTGGAACAAGATATTTGCTAAATTTTTGTATCTCTTGAAAATTGCTGTGAAAGGAGAAAATAATGCGTTATTGTTTGTTCTAAAGTTGCTGTTAGGATCAAAATGAAGTTGGAGATGTCGCTTTTTAAGTTGATAAATGTTCTTTACCTCAACCTTTTAAAAATTGAGACGTACTTGAGTTATTTACACCATATTTGGCTGAGTCTCCTTTGAGGGTCTACCAAAGCCTCAACGTGCGTTTTCTGTCTTTCTCTTCGCCTTTTCTCCTGCATGTTAGCCATGAGAAATACACTCCCTGGTCTGGTTGTTATAAGTTAAACTTTCCTAATATACCTTCTGTCAGGTTGAGGGGAGGACTGTGAAAGCTCAAATATGGGACACTGCTGGTCAGGAACGGTACAGAGCAATTACTAGTGCCTACTATAGGGGTGCCCTAGGAGCTCTTCTGGTCTATGATGTCACCAAGCCAACGACATTTGAAAATGTGAGCCGATGGCTGAAGGAGCTAAGGGATCATGCAGATTCTAATATTGTGATTATGTTGATTGGGAACAAGACTGATCTGAAGCATCTGCGAGCAGTTGCTACAGAGGATAGTCAAAGCTATGCAGAGAAAGAGGGCCTTTCATTCATTGAGACATCTGCACTGGAAGCAACAAATGTTGAGAAGGCTTTCCAGACCATTCTTTCTGAAATATACCGCATAATTAGTAAGAAGTCCCTCTCTTCAGATGAGCCAGCACCTGCAAATATTAAAGAAGGGAAGACAATTGTCGTTGGAGCACCAGAGGCCAACACTAAAAAGGCTTGCTGCTCATCATCTTGAACATGATCTTTATTCATCACAATTTTCATTCTTCCTTTTTGTATTAAATTCGTGTTTCCTCCTTTTGAAGTTGAGGATTTATTGCGGGACTCCTTTTATTATTACTGTTATTTTATTTTGTATCATTAGAAATATTTGAACTTTTCATGGTCTTGAATTGTTGCAAGTTAGTAATGGTATTCTGATGGGTGCAATTGCATGGGTACCTTTTACTCCCAGCTTCTGTCATACTTTTTAAGCACTAGCAATGCAACCTAGATTGATCCACAGCATCCAGGGAGTGATGGTGAGTGGCACAATTTATAGCAAAGGCTTTGAAATCTTCTTTCTGTTGATAGTAATTTTAAGGTGGGCAATAACCTTCTTGCGCCCCCCATCCCCCAACCGCCAAATCATGGGAATAGCTGACACTCTTACTATCTTTGATATGTAGTTTTTACTTGTTAGCTGAATTGAGAATTTCATCTAGAGGATATGGGACAAAAGCTTGACTGTTGGGAAGCGAGTAACAAGTGCTCCTAGTCCTAGACCATGAGAAAATTTTCAACCATGTTGAAGTAAACTTCAGGAGGACAAGAGAAGCAGGTGATACCAGAAAGGTAAACATGATTAAAGAAAATATAACAAAAACCCAAAAAATCAGTGACTCGATCGGTCAAGCTGAGAACTAGAAAATTTGAACTGAACTTTTATTGTACTTTCTGCAGCTTTGTATCAGATCAAAGAAAGGTGAGAGGTTTCTGCAGCATGCATAACAATCTGCAATGCAATCTCGTTGGTGGTAAACAACTCAACTGTATCCATCTTTCCCATTTTCCTTTGAAATAGATTCAAACAGAAAAGGATAATTCCCCATGAAACAGCATCAACAGTAAAGGATTGATGAAGAGAACAGATAACAAAATTGAAAATCACTCTGGGCAAAAAGGCCTGTCCAAGCTATCCTTATGGCTAGGGATTCTGAAGTGTCTAAGTCTTCCCTCTTGCTTTTTCATGTACCCTTGACATAAAAATGCCATGGAGAATTTATCTTCAACCACCCTGTTCACATCATGCACAAACACATCTGTCTCTCCTTCCTCTCTATTCCTTGCCATCATACCAGCAGTGTATATAGCAGTCATCCTCCCTGGAGCCTCCTCGTAGTGGCCGGTTGGTGCATCAACCATAATCAAGTCCCATTTGATCTCATACACTTCACTCGGTAAACCTTTCAATGCAAGTTGGCACATTGAGTATTTAGGGTCGCCAACTGCTGTGCATTCTGGTCCTCTGCCCACGTCCATGAGACTCTCAGCTTGGTTCACCTTGCTATCATACGTGACATGGTAGGATTCTAACATGGGAAACCGGCGTCGTATTTGCTCTATCCAGGCTTCATCTTCTTCAAGGAAAACTGTTCGCCCACCATAGTTGAGGGAACTCCACATAAAGCTGTCATGGCCTAGGCCAAATACCAAGAAGTTGCATGGTGACTTTTTCTCTAGAACTTTGGCTGTGACTGAGATTTCTTTTCGTGTTTGCTGTGGGGTGATGGATGAAGTTGAGTAGTGAATGAGAGCTTGGGCAAGAGAACGCGGTATCTTGTCACAAGGTGAGCAGTCTGCAGTTTTGCTTTCTTTAATGGCATTAGAGGTTTTAGCTAGTGAAAAGGTTTGCAAGATGGGAGATGCTGTATTTTCCTGGGAAGATGATAAACTTGATAATAACACAAAGAGAAGAAGAAAAGCAAGGAAAATTGCTAGCAGGAGGACTTTAAGATTGTGGCCTTGTCTGGTTTTAGGCCTCATGTTTGTCTGAATTCTTTGAAACAGTAGGAGAAACTCAAAAATCAATTTGACCTTTTCCCCTTTCTGATGTTAAGTTGAGGTTTAAACTCAAGAAAAGATGTAAAGCTTTGAAGTTTGAAGTCTTAGGTGATGCATGTAAGATTAGATTTTGGAAGTTTTGAGTTGCAACATAAAGTTGGTGAGCTGCGGGAGATAGTGAAAGATGGTATGCTATTGTTTCATTATGCTTGGACATGAAGGGAAGACACATCATATACTTGATGAAGACAACAGATCTACAAGGATTCTGGATGAAGCAACACTACTGCTGACGCAACTACAAGTTTGGTGGGTTCATTTAGTGTTCATTTCTGTTTGGCCACTGCAGTTATGAATTTCAAGGATTTGACATGGTTCCCTATTCCAATGTTCCCAATTTGCTTTTTCCTTGCATGATTTGAAGGTGCAGTAGCCATGGATGATTAAAGAAGCCTTAGTTTTCAGAATTGCTAACTGCATAACCTTGTGGTTATGATTGAAAACGATGTGGAAGTTAAACTCTCTACTTCTGCTGTTAGACCCATAAATTTACTCAATAATGCACCATATTGAAGTACTTTTGTTATCTATTTCTCTGAAACATTATATGCCGATCTTACTAAAAAGGCCTAGGCGAGTTAACATAACAGTTCCAGAGGATTGATGCCTTGTTTGATACTGCCATCAAAATAGTGCATTGGTTAATGTAATGCTACTTTTTCTTGTACAAGAACAGGAGCAAGACAGAAACATGCAAAAATGTATGTCCGAAACAAGGGGAGAAATGCCATAGAGAACGGGGATAGCCCAACCCTTGCGTCCTAAGTACCTGTCGTGCAAAAATAAATACAAAGGGTAAAAGAGGAAGAAAAATGGATATACACAAGACACAGATGTTCTGTAAGGACCAGTCTCTGTGGCTGTGGTCTGAGTATTATGTTAGCCTGTGAGGTTCAGTAAATTCAAGATGATCATTTGGCCTTCACAAAGAATACAGTAAACTTAATTATTAGAAACTGACTTTAGCTGTACAAAGCATAGTTCCAAAAGTTGAACAAGGGCAAAGATGTCTCCCTAAGGTAACAAGAAAATAGCCAGTATGCAAATCTCAATAGCAATCACCATACCTTTCTCAATCTTCCAATGCTTTTTTTGTAGTTAGAACTTCAGGACGAATTTCAGATGGAAAAATTATATAGCTGCCAGGTTGAAATCCATGGGAATTTCATGTTTATTGAACCTCATCTGGCAGCAATACTTGTCAGACCTCCATAAGAAAATAATTCATTCTAATAATTAAATTACGACTCTGCTGAGCTTTGGGATCAAAATAAAGATGGTATAAGCTTCTTTCTGTTTGTCACCTGCCATTTCTTGCATGGTAAAGTAGCGATTCAGTTAATCCATTATCATCAATGTCATTTTTTGCCTTTGTCTTGTCCAAACGAGCTTTGCGGACAGCACTCTGGATTTGTCTCTCGTGCTCTTTGAGCATTTCCTCAAGGTTTCCTCCAGGAGGCATCAATGGTCCAGAATAATGGATTCGGTTTTTCTTGGGAAAATAACCCTGGGTACACACAGAAAAGTGTTAGTATGTAACCCCAGACGGTTGAGACTGATTAATTTTGTGTTCCATTATGCCATGAAACTGTAAAAGCAGATTAAGGCATTAAGAAACGTTATAAACTATGTTCTTTGCAAAATAAAGGCTTTTAGCTTCAAATTTTCATGGATTTCTAGGAGATGGCTAAAAGCCCCAGATTCAGAAATCAGTTGTCAAAAGAATGGATATTGGATCTGTCACTAAAGCAAAGGAAATAGGATGTCTTGGACAATGAACATGATTAATAAGCTGATTATATTTCCATGATTCCCTTACCACTGTTGATTCCTTGGAAGATGGCTGTTCATCCTTCACATGTGAAGTCTTTGCCCTATCAAGTAAATGATGGGAGGACTCAGCATTATCCAGATGGTTATATCCGGTATTGAATCGCTCCTCTGGCCAGTGTGGATTTATGCTATTCCCTTTTGTCATGTCAAACCGTGAACTGCCTCTAACTGCAACTGAGTTAGAAAATCTGGATAATTCCACTGCTCCGCGATGGACATATGTTGTCTGAGTTCTCAACTCTTCAGCCTTCCTTGGAGAACCAAATGTTCGAGCAGTAGCCTTCGTAGACTCAATCTCATTCGACTTCATATTTCGTGAAGATCCAAAGTTACTGGGGTGCATTGACTGGCCAGAATGAGAGTATACAACTCTTGCTGATCCTTTTGGAGGCTCAATGGGGAAGCCAGCGCCCCCATCTTCTTCAGGATGGTTTACTTCACTGACACTTTTAGCATTAAACTGTCCTTGCCGCTTCTATATCAAGCAACAGAAAAAACATTAATCGTGACCAAAAGGCTGATTTTTCATTGAAAAATGTACAAACACCATAGTTACAAACAATCATATACCTATTTCTTATGTGTAAGCAAATCAATCTTACAACTTAAAAAGTACCTGTATGGATGCCTGTAACTCAGCATTGAAATCTGGGGCAGGAACAGCTGTAGATTCTTTGGAAACCTTTCTAACCGGATCATGTCCACGTACTTTCCCAACAGCTGCTCTTCGCCTGGATTTCCAATTACCAAACAGGCAGAACAATTGGTTATATAGTTTTTCCGGAAAACTTAGAGAGAGAGAGAGAGAGCTCAATTTAACATAATCACTAACACAAGCTAAGTCAATTTGAGAATTTTCATCCCTTCCTGGTGAGCAGAGAGATTTTAATTCATTCGATTTTTTCCTTGTTATTTAATAGGCCATCACAAAGACATGATACCAAACAAAAATCACAAAGAAGAAATTATTAGAGCTTCCACTATATATGAACTAAATGACCAGAATCTAGACAAAAGTTTAAATAGCCACAAGACAATTTTCACAAAATTTTGTTTAAACTTTGATGAGAAATAAAAAATTTTCAATACAAAGTACAATCAGAAAAATACCTTCTAGATTCCTCTTCTCGAAGCTTGGCATCAAACTCCTTACTGGGTGGGTACTTGGGCAAACTAGATGGATCACAGGGAAGAGGATTTGTTGTAAAGAACTGGAAAGAAATTTCAAAGTTAAAACAAAATGCCAAAATGAAATATCGTAGACAAAAAGAATGTTGAGATGACAAGTATAAAGGTTGAAGGATGAAAAGGTAGGATAATCATAAGCAACCAATCTAGTTTCATTCCAATGATGAACTACCTAGCAGGATCCAGACACATGCCGTGCAGTAACTATTTGTAGTTAACTTTAGTGAGCATGTCATTTCTCAAGTAAAAAGAAGAGATGATGTGTGCTAATGAAACAAAAGGCTGGACATCTGAAACTCCCAACTAACTATCAAAGGTTACAGTTACAAAGATTGTGAACAATAACATTTCAAGTGCAGTTAATACGCAAAGAAAAGCCTCTTGCTTATTATTCGGAAGGGTTTCTTTCTCTTAGCAAATTAACCAATAGGCATATTTGAAATTCCCAACTAAATAATAGAGTAGTCTTATGAAGTTGTGAATGGTAATATGTAAGAACACAGTTCAGCCAATAAGCTAGGAGGGTTCCTTTCTCTTCTTGGTTGTATAAGGAAAGGTGCCACCTTTACTTGTTCTCAAGGAAAAAGCATAAACAGAAGCAGTTGGACTTACAGAAAGATTGATCCCAAAAAGAAGAATACATAAATAAGGTGACAACTAAAAGAGCTTTTGTTAACTTGATGAAAATGCATGAACTAGAGGAACACCATAGCAACTTTACCTCACTCTGAAGTGCTGAAGAAGCAGTTCCGCGACATTCAGGTTCTATTGCAAGAAGAACCTCCAAAAGGGCCAAACCAGATGCAGGAAAGTCCTTGAATGTCTCAGGAACACAACGTTTGTAAGGATGTTGAGGTTTGAAAATGGTTGCATGTGGCAATTTTGATCTCTTCCAATACTCTTCCGAAGGTGATCCACAGAGCTTGAAGATTTTGTGCAGTTGCTCCACCTACAAATGATAAATGCTGAGATCATCACTCTCCATAAATTGTTCGACTATGTAACTCAAGTATACTGCACTTTGGACAGTTCTATGGATAAATTCTGAATGACTTATAGACAATTCTAGAGTACACATGAATAGATAATCATGTCATAACAGTGAAATTAAGAAGAAAATTATCAACAAAATTAGATGATTTCTGTGGGAACATAATAAACCACCAACAATGCCTCTCCCCCCCCCCCCCCCCCCAACCCACCTAAAGTAAATGCAGACCCAATACAAACACATACTTGTCTCCAGAATGAGCAAATAATTTGACAGCTAAATACATGGGAATCAGATAACAAGCAAATTCACACAAATGCCAAATCCCTAAATAACATCATAGTTTTAGTCTAAGCAATTCTTTACATAGATCATTGCAGACGCAGAGTGCTGCAATGACTACAGAATTTAAAGCAAAACAGTCACTTGGCTGCATAGTAAGACTTAAAGTCTAACCTTTGGCATCCAGATCTACCAGTGTCCTAATGTGAAAAAGGGACCCAAAATTCTCTTTGCATTTATATTTTTCCAGTCTTGTTAAGCACGTCCACCGACATCCACACAACCATAAATACATATAGCCATGCATGCATACAATAATTCTATTTCATAGTAAGGACAGTATTTTTTTTCTAACATAAGAAACAAAAAACTTCATTAGAAGCTTGATTCACACAAGAAGTTTCAAAATATGTATGAATACCCCAAAAACTGAAATAAGTACCTCAGTTCTTCCAGGCATGATAGGCTTTCCAGCAAATAGTTCTGCAAGAATGCAACCAGAACTCCAAAGATCAACAGCTACTCCATAGTCTGTAGCACCGAGCAAAAGCTCAGGAGGGCGGTACCATAAAGTTACTACACGACTTGTTAGAGGCTGCTTCTGACTGGGACGGAAAAAAGTTGCCAATCCAAAATCACCAATCTTGAGGTTGCCATTATAGTCTACCAAGAGGTTTGATCCCTTGATGTCACGATGCAAAACACCACGACTATGGCAATGGTCAAGTCCACGGAGTAGCTGTCGCATGTAACACTTGATCTGCACAGATACCACATAAAATTCAGCACTTGAACACCCAAACAACTGAGCTTATTTTATTTCATTTGAGAAAAAATGAAAATGGGTTAAATATAATTCGTCACATTCAAATAATGATGCAATATAATGAAAGGTTGGAGCTGTGACAGAAAATTGCTACCACATTTACAAGCAGCTAATATCTGAAGAAAGGAGTTTCCACCAAGTTTCTTTTCCTTTTGAGTTGTAACTTATAACGGGATTTTGCATCATGCACAATATCTACTATCAAATACCAATGAAAAGCCATTCACGTTCGTGATGTAACAGACTTCTCATACAATTGTGTTCTTCCACCATGGATTCTTTTGTCCAGAAGATTATGGAATCACAAGTTTTATGCTGACCTGAACAACATTAATGATATAATCAAATAAATATTGAAGATATGAATATACCTGAGCCTCAGTGAACTTAACCCCAGGTGTTGCTGCAAGCCCTGCAAGATCATGCTCCATGTATTCAAATATAAGGTATAAACTTCCAGACACCCTAGAAGTAATTAGACCTTCAAGCTTCATAACATTAGGGTGATCAAGCCTACGCAAAATAATAATTTCTCTTGCCATGAAACGAACACTTTCAGGGTCCATATTAGCAAATCGCACTTTCTTCAAGGCAACGATCTTGTTTGATTCAAGGTCACGAGCTTTGTACACACTGCTGTAAGTTCCTTGACCGATCTACATAATTAGCAGGACAGTTATGTTATTGAAAAAGGAAAAGGAACATGACTTCAGAGATGGCAACAGTAAATCAAAAAGCTATAGCCCCTTAAAGGTTGCAATAATGTGTATGAAAATGCATATTAACAAAACATACTCTTATTTTAACCACACTGTACCAGCTAGTATATATAATATAAATTTCAAAGTAAGCATACATAAGAAAAACAACAAGTTTCAGAACCACTCAATACGGTTATCACTGGACAGAACACAAGAATCAAAACTATAAATGAAAAACTAATAAAAGATACATCTATTGGGCAGACCTTTTCCAACTTTTCAAATGAGTCTGCCTTTCGAGGTATCCACCCATTGATGGCTTCTCCAGCAACAGCTGCTAGCCAAGAAGGCCAACCAGCAATCACCTGTGCACCTCTCTCGCCACCAGTTGCACTCATGACCCTGGACATCCTCGGCTGCCCTTGTCCACCCCTTGCCACAGCCTCCATTGTTGACCGCCTTTGCAGCTGGGATGGGGTCCTTTTAGACCTCTCAACAACCGCCAATCCTGCCTTCTTTTCCTCATCATCAGAAGAGGATGCAGGCGCAGAACCGGCATTGTGATTTGGCTGCAGATTTGATATCAACCGTGCAGTGGCATCTGCCTCCACCACTACATTGTCCCTCTTAGAAGAAACAGACAACTTTTTTGAGGTTTTCCCTGAATCCTTGTGTGCCTTGTCTTTTTTGCCTTGGTTATTTTCAACATATTCATTAGCTTGAGTTCCTTTAGAGCAAATGCAACCCATAATTTAGAGCCCCTCTTGTTTTCCAAACAGGGAACTGCCTCATTCAATGCAGTTTTGTCCTCTTCTATAGGATTCAACCATCCCAGAAATAAGGTCTCCCAGGCCAAGGATCAGCAATCTAAATTCCTCAACAAAATGTCTCCCAATTTTCTCTTTATTTGGAATGATATAAAAAGATTCTAACTTTCGATTGAACAAGGAAGACCCAAGATCCCAAAGAGATTGCTAAATTTGAGAGATTCCAAAAAGCTCACAGTAGAAATCAACAAGGACCCAGATCCCCAAATCCAAGAAAAAAAAAACTCAAAAAGTGAGAAACGGATCAAAATGTGGATTTTTTGAATCAAATTATGGAACCCCAAAAGGCAACTCTGCACCCCCAAAATAATTAAAATAAAATTGGAGGTATAATTAACCAACAATGCCCCAAAAAAAAATTATTTTTTCAAATATGTAATAATTCTGTTGTCTAAATTTGTTAAATACGATATAAAAAAAATACGACTAGACATTTGAAAATTGATAAAATACTTGTTTTTCCTTGGACCAATATTTAGAACATGCAAAATGTCAGCTTATAGTTGGTTCTTAGAGATTAATGCGGATCTGGGTATCAATCCTATAATTACGAATAGCCTTTAAAAAGATAATTTTGGTTAATACAGATTGTTCATAACTTGAACCTTTTTCTATAATACTCGAAATAAAAACCAAAACGAAAAACCAAAAAAAAAAAAATTGTGCTCTGTTTTGAAACAGAGATACGTAAAAATAAAAAAAATTAGAAAAAAAACTTGCTGTGTTTTTGTTTTGAACAGAGCGAAAGAAACAAAAAGAATGTTTTATGGAAAAAAGAAGAGGAAGACTGAAGGAATGGTAGGGGATCTCATTTTATTTTTATATAATATATGCGAAGTTAATCATATATAAAATTTTGATATTATATAATTTTAAAATTTATATACATAAAATAAATAAGGGTATTTATTAAATCTTACATCTCTGCTTGGGTGGAGAGTAGAGATGGTGCCACGTGTCAGATAGTGAGGTCCAATGGAGGTTTGACTGTGGTCCCACAATGAATATCCTGGGTGACAGCGACGCGACTGAATGGATTGAGCTTTGGCCCAATGAATAGGCTTAGGCCAGGTTTTCTCCTTCGCTTAGAACCCAACGGTTCATCAGAGATGAAAAAGGAGAAGCAATCGCCGTAAACGCCGCCAAGGCAAAAGCCACGTAGGGACCGTAAAGACACGAGCCTAACCCGTTGAGGAACTCCGAAGCAAGTGGCTCGGACGACAAAGCTGGAGAGAGGCTGTCACCAACAAAGTCCCACTTACCTATTCCTCTAACTATGTTCTCCCATTGTCTTTCCTTCTTCGTTCTCCTCGTTCACTCTCTCTCTCTCTCTCCGCATCTTCTTCGTCTTTACTTCGCCACAAGTTTTAGGGTTTCTCGATTTTCTTTCCTCGATTCCCCATTTCGTCTCCCGATCTCGACGGATCAAGATTCTTCTCTTCGTAAGCTCTTCACTGATCTAACTTTTCTTCAGTTTGGTTCTTTTGTCTTTTGGATTTTCTTGGCTTTGTGGTGTGTCGAAGTTTTTTTTTTGTAATTTTTTGCGGAAATTTGGTGGTATTTTATCTTAATGATTGCACTGCATGCACTGGTGATGACAATGAACGTTAGGAATTTCATATTTTTTGCAAAATGCTTAGATTTGAAGTGTTGGTTAGCTGGAGGTTATAATTTGTGATTTATTTGAATAATTTGTAGTTGATGGCTAACTGAGGGAAAAGAAACGAAAAGAAATTTATAGATTCTGCATTTTAATCCTTGTTAATTCTATTAAAATTAGAGGAAACTATAATTGCAGGAAAAAGATTACCCCCTTTTGATAGCAGCGTTCTTGTTTAAGCTCAAAGTAATGGAAAACTGGGTAAATTATTTAGATTTATAGTGAGGTTTTACTTTTACCCCATTGACTTTATATCTTTCTTTGTCACTGCAAGAAACTAATTACGGGTAAAATTTTCTATTAGGAGGGTTATAGATGTAAAAGGGAGTTGGTTTCATTCATTTGACAGTTTGACTATAATGCCCTTAGTATGCTAGTGAGATATGGGTAGGGCTAACATTATTTTGTTACTTTGTTGGTAAGGGCATGCATAGGCATCTTGTTGGCATTGTGTTAGATAGGATTATTGTATGATAAAATTGAGCTATTTTTGGGGTATTATTAGTTAATCATTCCCTTTTGGAGTTGTTTGTGACCTTGTTGCTTATAGCCTATGTGGATATTTTAATTGGACATCTGCTTCATTAATGATCTATTATAGTATGACTTGTTTTGGTCAGTTACCGGTTATTAGAAAGTGGGTTTAATATCATTCTGTAAATGATGTAAAGTGTTTGGTTTTGATTTGCTAATCTTGTATGAGCTTAAGATGCATTTCTTACAGATCAATTGTTTACTTAAATGTTTAAGATCTTGCCTAATATTTTTATTCTCTTCTAGTCAACATGTGGCATTACTGTTGCATTTGTTGATGTGGAAACTAAAGGCCTCCCTTGCGTCTCCTATTGTTCTCTCTGAAATGTTTAATTAAGATGACATATAAGAATTTGTTTTCCTAGTGGCGTGAGACATTAATAGTGATGCACATGACAGTGAATTCTCATGTCTTTATCCCTAACTATAAGTGATGATATATCCTAATTGCTTTTGTATAAATGAGACTGGCATTAATATTGATTTATATGGTAGCTTGGGTGAGTCTGCACCGGCTCAAATTGACATATGTGCTGCATTGCCAAGTAATGTATTTAATATGATTCATGCCTGTTCGCATTTAGACTGCTATATAATTGGTTATATTAGGGTTTACATCTAACATATTTTGTTGTTAGGTGATTTTGTGGCTTTTACTGACTTGCTTTGTGGTTGCATGGATCTAAAAATGTTCTTTACTTCGTTTTTATGATAAATTTCTATAAACTGGAAATTCTGGAAATCTTTTCCTTCTCATTTTTCCTTTTATAGGCGAAATAGCATGTGGCTGAAGGTGATGGATTTTGTTATACCTTGCTGCATTCTATAGAAATCTTTCTTCTTTTTTATAGAGTTTTATTCCTAATTTTTATTAGGTGATTTATTCCCCTTTCCTGTTCAACAGGTTCTTGGATCAAATAATTAAAGTTTGAGCTAAAGCTTGAAGGTTAGTGGCTGAAACAGCAGTCTAAATGTGAATTTTGTAAGTTTTGAATTGGTTAATGTTTGACTTACATGGATCTTGTACACTGGCAAGAAGATACATGAGTTCTGTTGACAATTCTGCTTAATCTTAGCACATAGTTAATCTTCGTATCATCCTTAGGTCATTAATAGCTTCTGGAAATAATCCTCAGAAGGTAGCTTGTACCCTATCAAAGGATCCTTTGTATCCATGCTGGTAGAGAGCATGAGTGGAATCTGTGTTTCGGGTAATGCCCCTGAAGAGATATTCTGCTGGAGCATTCGGTGTGCTGACAATTTGTCTAGTTGCTCTGTTGATTCTTCTTGGTTTGGTGTGCATTGCATACTCGTTTTACCTGCGTTCACATGTTCTTAGACAAGGATTTATTCAGCTCAGTTAGTTCAGTGGTCCTTGGATTGTCCGAATCATATTCATTTTGTTTGCCATTTGGTGGGATGTTGGTGAAATTATGCGGCTAAATTTTCTAAGACGGCAAGGAAGAGTGTTGAATGCACTCAATTTGAAATGGCAAGAAAACGTCTGCAAACGTTGTTACATTGTTTCAAATTTAGGTTTTGCAGAACCTTGCCTCTTCCTCACTCTTGTGCTTCTTCTTCGTGCACCTTTACAGAATGTCAACACAGGAATTCTAAGCAGAAAATGAAATGGGAAAACAACATGCTATGTTCTTCTCTACTGCCTCCCTGTGTTTGTTCTTCAACTCATTCTTATTTTGATTGGACCAGAGTTGCACAAGGATAGGCGAGAATTACCACAATATTTCACAAGAACAGCTGCTCCAGTGAAGAAAATTCTGTTAACATTGCTCTTTGTACTTACCCTTTACTGAATACTATGCTTCTTGGGCTTTTTGCAACCGACTTGACTGCCTATTTGTTTTGGCTTGGAAGGAGGATTTTGAAATTGGTTATCAATAAGGGTTTGCAGAAGAGAGTTCATACATTAATTTTCACGGTCTCCAGTTTCCTTCCATTAAGGGTTCTTTTACTTGGTTTATCTGTTTTATCTAAACCAGAGCAAATTCTGTTTGAAGCTCTTGCATTCTCAGCCTATCTTGTCCTACTATGTTGTGCTGGGGTCTGTATTTGCATGCTTGTATTCTGCCCAGTTGCTGATTGTCTAGCTCTGGGGAATCTTCATGACTTGGAGGATATGAGAAGGGTGGTTCTTGATGATCAGAATGACACTGTTTCTCTTATTGCTAATCAGAGCCGCCTTGAAGGAAGTGTTGGAATTAGCTCTGAGAGGAGTTCTGATGCCTCTACTAAACGTGGATCAATTTCTTTTTGGACTTTCGAAAAAGATGGGACCCCGACTGGGGCATTTGTGGAACCGAGCCTCTTCTCTCCTAGCCGAGATGTAACCCCACCCGGATCACCTCCTGTTCTGGGCTGGCCAATGCAGCCTCCAACACATGTGACGAACCCTAAAAGTAAGCAAGAAACTGAGTAGTTGTGGTGAATATCAATTTTGTGGTAAAGAAAACTGATTGTAAAGGGTTTGTTTTTTCTAATTTTAGATATGATGGTTTTGCTTGATGGAATTTATAATCCGAATCCCGCTTTTGTAACGTTCTTATATCCATTTTTTTTCCTGCATCCATGCATTAAAATTGTGGTTTATTTTGCAAGGTTGAAAATACTTGATAATTGGATCTTGGATGGTACCTGAAATTCTTTGATGGTGGTGACCAAGCCTTCTTTTAATTCTATTTCTTGATGAACTTTTATATACCAGTTAACCATTGCTTTGTTTCGAGCTTTTGTCTCGATGAATGTGGAACGGGTCATTGCAGTTAATAAGAATTGTTGGTAGACTTGATAATTTTTGTATTTTTATGTAGTAAAATAATAAAATATATATATTTGTATCGTATTTTATATAAAAATTATATTATAATTTGTGTCGATATAAAAATATAAAATATATTATTTTTATTAAATTTATATATAATTATTTTTTAAAATTTGTATTGTTATTTTTGTATATTATTTTTATATTGTATTATATCATTATTTTATCGTATTTTAAATTAAGTTTAGTTATTAATATTTAATAATTTTAAATATGATATGATGATATAATATAAAAATAATGATATGAATAAAAGATATTAAAATAATACGATTTAAAATTTTAATAAAAATAATAAATATATTTAATAAAATAAAAAAATATATTTTATGTTTTCATTTAAATATGAATATGAATAATGACATTATTTTTATGTAAAATATAATAAAAATATATGAATTATTAATATTTTATATAATATAAATATATACAAATATATAAATTGTTAAATTTAAGTATTTTGCTTGCTAAAATTAAATCTACCACCTTTTTAAGTTTCTTGGATATTTTTTTAAAAAAATAAGAAAGCGGTGGTAGAAAAGTTGAAGGACAAACGGCTTTCCAGAAGATTCGACGACAGGTCTTCGATAGTTGGCAAATTTGACACAATGAAAAGTGACAAACAACTTCTCCAGTACTCAAATGTTGTGATGCTCGCTCTTACAATTTTTGTCACGAAAATAGATATTTTAATATTTGTTAAATTACTATATAGTACTTTATTAGAGTTTCAGTCGCTGATATATTTTTAAAAAATGCATGACAAAATAATATTTATACCTTTATAGATATTAACATCTAGCTGAAAAATAAAATAAAATATCCTGGAATCAAACACAAAATGAAAATTAGTAATACTTATTTTAAAAATAATGATATTTGTCTAACGAACGAAGGCATTGTCGTCATTCGGGATTCAATTGTCGCGTTGTCTTCACGTGTGGCGTCGGCGCGTGCTTCGTGTGCTTACTTTAATTATGTAATTTTTTTTTGGTGTTAAGAGAGCAAAACCCTACAACAGGGGAAGTGTGAGGCTGGAGTCAAACCTCAGTCTTGGTGTCCTCTTAAGACATCCTTGGCAAGAAGCTTACTTTAATTATGTAATTTTCCTCATAATATCAGGGAAAGTGCCAGCGTTCTTTGAACGTTCGATACAAAACCAAACCACTGACGAATAGAAAAGCTTGATTGAAAAAAAGAAAAACCCTAAACCAAAATCAAAAGCAATGGCCTCATTCGAGCAAGCACCGCCTGGAGATGCCAAAGCTGGGGAGAAGATCTTCAAGACCAAGTGCGCACAGTGCCACACTGTCGATAAAGGTGCTGGTCACAAGCAAGGTCGGTATCTCTCTCTCTCTCGCTCAGATCTGATTTTTTTCGTTCTTTGAATTCAATAATTTGGTTAATTATTTTTATGTCGAGTCTCGAGTGAGATCTAAGTTCTTAATTGTATGCTTTTATTAATTATTACTTGTATCAATTTGTTCATAGCCTTTTCTTTCATGTCATCTCCGCGTAGGCTTCCTTTTGCTTTTTTTTTTTTTATATTGGTATCTTATAATTATTTTTTAGTCATAATTATTTGATCTTGGTTGTTCTCAGATTCAGTAACTTTTTATTTCTTATTTGCAAACTGATCCGATATCTCTCTTGATTTTTGAATGAAAAGACTTTAAATTTGAAAAATAATGTGTGAGTTCCTGGATTACTTAGATTTGCATTGAAACAAGATGATTGACACTGAATTTTCTATCTGATACAGTTTGAAATTTTTATTTTTTTACTACTTTTTAAAGATTAGGGAATAATAAATTTTTGAAATTTGCAGGGCCAAACTTGAATGGGCTTTTCGGGAGGCAGTCCGGCACAACTCCGGGCTACTCCTATTCTGCTGCTAACAAAAATATGGCTGTGATTTGGGGAGAAAAAACATTATATGACTACTTGCTTAATCCTAAGAAGGTAAGGCTTTTTTAGTATCATGTTCGTGAGTTTTTGTTGTTATTGTAAGTTTATAACCTTTGAATATGTAAGGAACACTGTGCAGGGAATGAATTCTGTGACCTTTATGTATTCGTTGCATGGATTTTGTTATGGTTTTGAAATATAAAATAGACTTTCATTCGGGATATGATCTAGTAGAAGCTTTCCTATAAGCTTGTCGTATGAACTAATTGTCTGTTTCAAAACAACATGAGAAAGATTAGTTCAGTTGAATAGGGTTGGGGGTGTTGTGTGCTAACTATGGTCAAACCAACATGAGGAATTGATAACATGGAAGTGGTTGATATTGATTACTGTGTTGGCACCATAAGATTAATTGTGCTACTAATTGATCATTAGTTTCATAAATGACAAATTGCACTCAGGCGCACAAAGAGTTTTTTTCTGACACAAAGTACAGGATACAATTTTTTCTTCCCTTTTTTTTTTTAATATGAAGTGGTAAGAATGTTGTTTATGTACAAAGGAGGAGCACACGATGGGGGTTCTAAGGAAATCACCTATTGTTGCTATTGTTTAGCAACGAAGGTGATTTCTTACAAGATTGTTCTCGTGTGGTAGTAGTTATTCATTGTTAACGATGATTTCTGTTGCTATAGCTATGTCTTCTTGGTAGTTAATCTCATTTCAATGAGATATATTTTCTATACTTTTATCATGATTACTGATTATTGCATCACATCAGCTATTACTATGTTTGCATTTTGGTGGCATTATACTTTTGGTGCAATTGACTGGCTTTAGATTGGTATGAAGTAGATATATCTATAATAAGCATAGCTGAGTTGGCTTGATTTGAATCTTTGTTTGTGAGTGGAAGTACTTTCTCACTTTCAGTTTACTAGTATCTTTTTCTCCTTAGCATGGAATTTCATTGTTGAATTGCTTTGTGCAATTGATGGTTTGCTGGTAAAATTTGCTTGTGCAGTATATTGCTGGGACAAAGATGGTTTTCCCTGGATTGAAGAAGCCACAGGAACGTGCTGACCTCATTGCTTATCTGAAGGAATCAACTGCCTGATGCGTCTGCTTTATATCAGCTATTTTGGAACAAAATGAAGAGTTTTGATCAGTGATGTATTTTTCTCACACGAAAAAAACTAGGCCATTCTTAAAATAAAGAAACCAACAGCTTAAAGATAATAATTTGGGCTTTGGAGTTGAAACCAAGAGGTGAAAAGATTTTTGTGTATGACCAATCTCATGAGGATTAGGCATTTCAACCTTATTTTTAGATTTGATTATTTGTATTTAATTTGTTAATAATCATTGTTCGAATAAATCTAACCAATCAATCTTAAATTTGAAAATTTTTTATTATGATTCAAGTTTAATCAAGCGAGTTTAAATTCAATTTGAATATTATCTCGAGATGAGTTTGAGAGTGAAAAATATAATTTGATTAAGTTTGAATTGAGTTTTAAGCTTTAATTTTCAAATTGAGTTCAAGCTTGAGTATCTTATTGTATTGGTTGAGTTCAATTACATTTTTATAAGAACTATATCAAATTTAAATTTTTAGAAGATCCTTTAAATATTCAAGGAACAGTTTTTATTTATATAGTGTTCAAATAACTGAAATTTATATACCAAGAGAAACTTTTATAAATATGTATATGTAAACTTGACATTACATTAAAATTATTACACACATTTGGATGGATAAGTGGGGAGGCTCAAGTATAAATAAGGGCCTTTCCCTTCATTGGTAAGAAGTTAGAAGCAACAAGATGAGCAACTTGGGGATAGACATAGGAATCATTGTAAGGACATAGAGCAATGAGCAATTGTACGTAGCATCGAATAAATAGAAATACAATTGCTTTAGCTCTCTTACCTAGCTTTCGCCAAGCTCCTAGGAAGCTAATAGAGTGCACAGCATAAGTGTTTGGCACAGAATCGAAAAAAGGCTAACTTAGGCACATGGACCGTAGTTTATAGCTTAAGGCTGCATGTGTAGTTTCTAGCTTAAGGCTGCATGTGTGCTAGGTTTAAGCTCCTGACCTGTGAAAGGTGGTAGCAGAGTCAATTCTAATCAAAATTGGTATCTAAATAAATTTTGTTAATTAATAAATTCATTTAATGAAATTAAAATTTGTGTATAAATTCAATAAATCTTATAAAAATTGTTTAATATAAAATATATATAAATTAAAAAATTTATTTTTTGGGTTAAAATTTTTTTCTATATTATAGATATTTATTTATTTATTTATAATATTATATTTGTATATGGATGGTCAGCAATATATTGGCTTTGGGCTAAAGACCACCCAAAGAAAGCGAAAACCAAAGCCCTCTTAACTCAGGACCTCTTGCGTGTGTATTGTTATTCTTCCTCTTTCTGTTGTGGCCGCCGCTGTATTAGGCTTTTCTGTTTATCCCTATTGATATCGTTGCCGGTCTTCGTAGCAGTCATTTACTTAAGGTATTCCTGTTCCTATTTCTGATTTTTGTGGGTTTCCCTCGCTATACCCAATGTTTCCGAATAAATGAAGCTCAACTCATAAGCTTCTTGGCGTTTTCTTTTTTGTTTTCCTTTTAATTTGAATTCAGTTGTTTAAGACTCTAGAAATTGGTGGGTGTGGCGTGTTTTAGGGTTAAATTCAGACTGTAATATGCCGGAATTTTGTTACAAAATCGCAGCTTTTCCGTTAATTTCTAGGGCTATTTTGATTTTGTACGTTTCAGTGGTTTGAAGCGAATATATAAGTTGCTCTGCGCGCAGCCGAACGGTGAAGTGCTGGTGATTGCTTCCCTTCCCTTTCTCCAAGAATGTCATCATTAAGGAATGCCATTAGCAGACGGGCTCACAAGGAACGAGCTCAACCGTGAGTGATAGCTTTTCCCTTCATTATGCCAACCATTCTAAATAGCTTTTCTGCTTTCATATTGATAGATGCCTCCTTATATTAACTGCTCTTATACTGATGGGTGCTTGTTTATGTATTAGGTCCTCGAGGAAAAAATTCGGGCTTCTCGAAAAACACAAGGATTATGTTGTTCGTGCGAAAGCATTCCACAAAAAGGAGGAGACTTTACGGGTAAGTTTATGCTTCTTTTCTTCCTGCTTTTGATTTTGTTATCACATTCGTTTTCTTGCTTCTTAGATTGTAATGAGACTGCTGGCTATAATTTCATTGGTTATTATGTAATGTAATTTTCTTCCATTTGCTTTATTCTCTTTTTGTCAATGTGCTCTACAGAGACTCAAGGAGAAAGCCGCATTCAGGAACCCAGATGAATTTTACTTTCAGATGATAAAAACAACAACTATGGATGGAGTTCATAAACCTGAGTAACATATGGCTCTCATGTTTTTACCGTTCTTTATTTGGGCTTGCAATCTAGAATGCTGTTTATTCAGCCTTCGTTCTTTTTCCGAATTCTTTATTTGTATAGGAATCAGGCTAACAAATACTCTCAAGAAGAACTCATGCTAATGAAGACCCAAGACATAGGATATATACTACAGAAATTGCAAAGTGAAAGGAAGGTAACTTGGATGATTTTATGACGATTTTTGGTTTATCAAGGGTTATATAATATTTCCTAAATGGTTTTGGTAATGAAACTATGTGCAACTAGTTATTAATATACTTTTATTCTGCTGCAGAAAATTGAGAAGCTAGCTGCCATGTTGCATTCTGTTGATAATTATCCATCCAACAGACATATTTACTATGCTGAAGACAGGTTTTATTTCTTAATATCACCTTTCCTTTTCGTGTCTTTGGTTGTTGGCTTCAATGAAAATTTTCAGCTGTTGCTGTACAAAGAGAAGATAACTATCAGTTAGTTACCTTTGACATGATTATTATTCTTTCTGAGTGCTACTTTCATGTTCTTCTTGAAGTGGTCTTGTTTTATGTCATAATGATCATACCTGTATTGCCTTTTTAGCATGCCTACTTTGAGAAGGCTGACACTGAGTGATGACCATTTAAGTAAAACAGATCATTTACTGTTAGTTTGGCCCCTTTGAAGTTCAACCCCCAAAAAGTATACCAACTTGTCTTACTGTTGTTGTTCTGCCACAATCTTTAAATAATATCCGTTATGACATTTGATGTTTAAGCTCTTTGAAACTTTGTAGTAACATTTATCAATTAATTTGTGAAACCAATGTATGTTTTACATAGAGTCAGAAAATGTGCATCCATGGTTGGCCAAAAAAAAAAAAAGAAATGTGCATCCATGGGAATTAGTTTTCTTTCACTTTAGGTTAATGAATACAAACATAACATCAGGAAAAAAATAAGTATGGCGTAGATTAGAATGTTACAACAGATGTCTGTACATTGAGGAAACATGAGATTAAGAAGTGTAAAAAGCTAAAGGTGGGGCTAGCTCCTGTTGCGGACAAGAAAAGGAAAACAGATTGGAATCAGTTTGGAGAAAGAAAGTGGAGGACAAAAATCCCTGCATGAAGATCTGAGTAGTGAAGGATTCATGACTTGTGAAAGAGAGGATGGCCAAAGTGGACATTGGTGGAAATTATAAGAAGTCCAACTTTTACTGAGATTACTTAAAATATGATAAAAATATGATATTAAGGGCAATTATGATCCATATAGTTATCCCCACATTGTGGTAGAAAGGCTTAGTTGTTGTTGATGGTGTTTATTGACAAAGAAATGGGTGTATTTGAGTTTTGGTGTTTGTTGGTTTGATAGACAAACAAATAGATAGATGGATACATTATTCATTGCTAGTTATTTGGTACATCTTGGTTGTGGTATGGGTTAGAGAATGTGAGACTTAGGGTGTGCTTGGTAGAGTAGAAACGTGGAAAGATGGATAGCGAAGGGTGGAAAAGTAGAAAGAAAATGAATTTAGTGTATGCTTGGTAAGAAAGAAAAGTAAGAGGAAACAAAATAGAAGAGACGATCATTTTTCACATTCACAAATACAAATCATTCCAAATTGGAAAGAGAAGAGGAGAAAATGAGAGAGATGTGAGTAAGTATTGCATATGTACAAGACTATCCATCATATTTGATTTTTTCCTTTTCATCTTAATTTACAAAGGTTATAATAGTAAAATAATATAATATTCATTTTTTTTCCTTTCATTTTTCAACTGTACCAAGCAATGGATGGAAAGAAAATTAAATTTTCTTTCAAAATTTCCATCCTTCCAACCAAGCACACCCATGGAAAGAAAAAATATATTTTCTATGTTTCCACTTTTCTTCTCTTCCTATATAACATCTTTCCATTTCTCTATCCACCTTACCAAGCAAAGCCTTAGTTCTTTGTGATACAAGCAGGACAGTCCTAATTGCTTATTGCTTATTATTTTAGGTTGTATTATGCTAGAAGGTATTATTTGGAAAAAATTTCGAGTGTTTTTCTATTACATAGATGTATTTTTTACGTACTACTGTATATATTTTAAAAACCCATAATTTCATTACTATAGGACTGTAGCAGTGAACATTATTTTGTAAAATATTTTTTCTTTTCTATTCTCCAAATAGTATGCCATGTATTTAGTACCAAGAAATTGATGTGCTGGCTGGCTATGTGATAAATATTTAAGGGAAATGTTGGGATTGAAATACAGCATGCGAGGTAGCCAACTTTGTAATTACTAGTTAGCCTGAACCCAGTTAATGCATGCAAGATTAACAATTCATGTCACCATCATGCAAAATTCAAAACCAGGCTTAACTCCATAGTTAACTAAATTGTCCCCATGTTTTATTTTTTTGCCTTATTATCTTGCCCTCTCACTTTTGGCCTTTGGGATTCTTCATTTTCTTTTAAAAATGTCACAACGCATCTCTGTATGGTAACATTAATTCTGTCGATACAGTTGAAACTGCTTGCTTTTGCTTTCAAGGATTAGCACAAATGCTCCAATTTTTCATTCATTGTTTGCTACATCTTGACATAGTTGTAGGGCTGGTAAAACTAGTTGAAATATGGATCTTGTGCCAATGATATAGGGCACTTTAGCATATGCTACACTGTGTCTCTTCACAAAGAAGGGGAAAAGAAAGACCCTCATATGAATCATTGTCAAGTTTATAGTTATTCATATTATCCATTGTTTTGAAATATAAAAAAGTTGTATTCATAAATGTTCTTTTTTATAGGGAAGAGGTGAGAGAATTACAATCACAATCTTCAGAAAGCAGAGCTACTCCCTCTTCTGATGATATCCCTGATCATATTAAAAGGTTAGTTAATTGACAATATTTTGCCAAATGTTTGGTAAATAACTGGATTGGCTATCTAATTATGTTCACTCATGAAGTCAGTTGTTTACTTTTTAAACTATACAATTGCTGAAGCTGCAATTATGCGGAAATTGGAAAGGGGTTTCATTAAAGCAGTTGCTCTTGATTATTTTGATTTGTTGAATTTGACAAATGATGTGCTTTTTACTTTTGGACCAAACAATCTGTAATAAAGTCATATTTGGAACATTATTGGAAGATATTTATGAAGTTTTACATGAAAATTCTTCATCTCATTCTACTAAAGTGATGTCACAAAGATGGGATTGTTATGGGCTATTTTCACAGCTACATTGCTGAAAAGTATTGATTGCAAAATTGCTTCTCTACGCAGGTAAGTGAATTAGTCATCTTGCCTTTTTTTTTTGCCCAAAAAAATAGTCATCTTGGGCTGTATAAGTTGCTGGTGGACTGAATATTTTAAAACTGGCTGCACTTAGGAGAGATAAAGTACGCAAAGTGGTCTGGAAGGCATGATTTCACGCCCATACATACTAATCTTTATACTTTTTTTGTTCTTTACATGTAGGAAGACAGCTACTTCATACAGGGAATTAGAGGCCAGGAAAAATAGAGTGAATCAGCTAGAGAAACTATATATGGATATGTCATTGAAGAAGGAATTACAGGTATTGGCATTTTAAGCAAAATTTTTACTATACTATGGGCAATGCATTGAAATTCATTTAAATTTTCAAGTTAAACATTGCATTCATTAATGGACAGAAAAAGGGTCGGAAGCGCAAACTCCGTGAAGATGAGCTAAAATGTCCAACGTCCAAGCCAGTGTATAAATGGCGATCAGAAAGAAAGAGGTGACAAGGTGTTCATAGCTCGTGAGATTGAAGTTTTTGTTTGTGGCAACTGATTTGAGGAGCTTCATCATGTCTGTGAGAGATTAAAGCCTCGGATATTGAGACAGCAAGCTAGAAATAGTTGATGACAAGTTTTACTTTATTGAGATTTTCTGTTGGGCTTACATACGACTTCAATTATAATTTATCAGAATTGTAGTATATAGGGAGCTCTTCCCTCATTCATATGGAGTGGTTTTTGATAAATTGATTTAAGTGAATTGCATTTTAGGCTGTTACATTCTTAATATTGTGCTATTAGCTTTATTAATTTGACATTATCTTCACCTTCGTTTTATTTTTCATTTTCCATATGAAAAACAAAAATTTTTTTTTTTCTTATTCAATTAATGCTCAATGAATGCATAATATTATGAATTTTCAAAATTTAATTTGAATCCAAATTAAACTTAATAAGAAATCAAATTGAATTGATTTGAATTAAATTTTATCAATTCGATTTGATTTAATTTATCGGTTTTTAAAAATTATTTGTTTTAATTTTTTAATATTATTTTAAATATATTTAAATAGATGTAGAAATAAAGTAATTATTTTATATTTAAATATATTTAAACTGCATGCTTTGTGCAGTTTCGGTATCCACTACCATGAACTTGTGAAAACTGAAGGACAATTTAACAAAATCAGAACAAACAAATGAATAAAACACCATACATGAGAGTATATGATGATTTTTTTTAGGTTTATTGTGTACCGCCTACCAGTGTTCTTCTCGCGGCACACGGCGTATACGCAATACGCTTGGTTTTTGCCTGACTCATATATTCGGTTTACATGGATGAACAAGGGGATGAAAGCAAAAGAATATAGGAGGAGCTGTTGAAGATATATATCGAAGGAAAAAAGTGGAGAGGATGCGAGCTACGGTGATTTCACATGATTCCAAGGCTCACTTACGCACACCCAAATGCGAGTAGTAGGGATCTTTGCATGGGTTTGAACACCTTGTCGAGGTTGCGCTTCAAGCCTTGGCACAGCAAGTTGTATAACCACAATTTGATTTTGATTACAAGGTCAGGTCACTATATATTTGTGCTTTTCATATACAGATTGCATATGCTTGCATGCATAAAATGATTTGCTATTTATTGCACTATTATATATGTACATATATAGGAAATTAATCATGTTTCGTAGCTTCATGCTCTGGTTTAACTTTAAATATATATATTGAACATAAAAAAGTATACTGATGACCCCTCTCCTTAATTATTAGATTTTGACATTTAACAAAGACATTCTTGTTTGTGTATAATACAATGCATGAGATGAACAAATCAAAACTTTACACAAAAAAATGAAATGTCTTTTGAATTATTTGGAACTTTGGAAAATAATAATAAGTAAAAAATACATGAAAAGAAAACTTTCTTTCATGTCTTCTATTACTTCAAAATAAGGTTCAGTTACCATTGATGATATTTGAAATCTCAGATAAAATGATGTTGGAAGAAAATATTCTCCTTTTTATATCTAAGAATTTCACATTTAATAGTAAAAAAATTGACTTAAATCCAAAGTATCCTTCCCCGTGTCTTGTTATTGGGGACATTCGATTTTTATTATTAATTTTATTACATATTAAACTTAGGAGTTAAGGGATACCATCATACCAAATTGAGAAATCATGCCATGTTGTTTTATTTTAGTATTAAAAGATATAAAAATAGATAATTTATTTATGGTAACCCATTGTTTTATTAAAAAATATTATTTTAACACCAAGAACATTAGTTGCGTGCAACTCGCAGACCATGTTACCAGTTTACCACTCCTCTTCTACGACATCCTCAAAAAGTCAAACGAACATGGACCCAGTATGACACGTGGCGAACTGATAACAGCAAGTACGTGGTGTATTTTGTACTCGAACGGACTACTTTCTTTCTAGTATTCGCACGTTCTTACAAAATCCCGTCGATGTCGGCGCGTGCGTGCCTTTTTGCAAACAGCCTTTAAATGCATTCCTGTATTCTACTTCTCTCTCTCTCTCTCAAAACTTTTTGAGAAATTTGAGTTTTGGCTTTGTCATTACGACATCGTTTCCTGGCATTGCAGAAGTTGACTACTTCGGACTTGCACTCTTCTTTTTCACATATTCTCTCTTTTTCATTCTTTGCTTTTCTCTGTAGTCTTTCTCATGCTGTAAATTATCGCAAAAAGATAACTTTTTTAGTTTGGGCATCTCTCTATCTGGGTTTTGGATTTTTCGTGCAAAGATGAAGTCTTTTATTTGTGTAAGTTTCTTCAAAACTCTCTGTTTCAATCATTTATGGGTTTGGAAGTTTCTTTTTCGTGATTGTCTGCTTCAATTCTGCTTTTTTTTTTTTTGTTTTGGTTTTGTGTTTTCAGGCCTTTTTCTTTTTGAAAAATGGCAGAAAATAATGTAATTGATGGTGGAGAATGTGGAATGATGATTGTTTTTGCTTTACTTGTGATTATAATTTGAGAGATTAGAGCTTTAAAAAGTGGGAAGGATTATTTATTGGTCTTTAAGTAACTGTATCCAACTTGATTACTTTCTTTAGCTCTTGTTCGGTTGCTAAGAATAGGAAGAGCTATAGTATAATTCACAGCAGTGTTACTTGAACTTTTGTTTTGTAAGTGAGAGAAGCCTATTTGGTTTGTTTTTGTAAGTGAGAGAAGCCTATTTGGTTTGTTTCATAATTAAAAAAAGTTAAGTTATAATTTCTTGGTTGATTTTCCATCCTGGTGCTTTAGCTATGACAAAAGTAAGTGGTGGATCTTCTGCTTGATCGAGTTTATTTAGTCTGGTATGGAATTTTCAGTGAACTTTTGTAATCTGCAGTTTGATTGAAGGGAAAATTGAGGGAAATAGAAGGATATTGAATTTTGAATATTTTAATGTGTTTTTTTTTTTTTTACTGTTATACTAACTAAAACTGACTGCAATTCTAATTTGAATGAAAATATTTGCTTCAGTTTGTCAGTTTTTTATTTGGATTGCATTGTTTTTGACAAAGATGTTTGAATGATTTGACCTTGACCTTTTGACTTGCCTGAATTTCAGTTGGTCTCCATTGCCCCTTCTTTTATGTTTTCACGTTTTGATCCATGGTGATTGATGAGTTATTTCTTAGTTAGACAAATTTAATTGATGCTTGTCGACCCAGTGACCATATGTCAGACACTTCGAAAATGTATCATAAAATTCGCAGGCAACTCCTGTTAGGGCCTTCTTTCTGATTCTCCTCCATTATTTTTTTTTATTCTTTGCTGTTCTATTCCAAATTCTAATCTATATCTCGATATGAAATGCGATTGTAACTTCTTCTGCTTGAATGTTCCGTTATGTTGCAGGCTTCTGTAGTGTCGGATCCAAAAAGCAGGTCATGCCTCTGCAGTCTCTTTATTGTAGCATCTTTGATTTGTGGTGCTTACTTAATTAGTAGTGCATTCATAACTAAGGAATACAAAGATGTATGTATTTCTGCTTTTGTAATTTTTTGTTCAAATCTAATTCTTTTTCTTTTGGTGAGGTCGAATGCTATGGCGTTGAGTCATTTTTTTTCATGAATTTTGATTTGTGAAAATGTTCCTTATCTCAGAATTTGGAACATGTTGCTCAAGGCATGTTTAAAGTGTTTAAAGCTGAAATGGGATCCTTAAAACACTGTCAACTTTTGGAACAGTGTTATGAAATTCAAGTTCTGCTCCCACTTGTCGATGCATGAAAGTGCAGTTTCAGATTGGTTGGCAGATTATTTTTTAAAAAAGCTATAAAAACTTACCACAGTTGGGAAAACATGTTGAATTTAACTGATAATCACCCAAAAGGAGACCAAATAGAGACGTGTGGCTCTAATCACACAACCATTTGTTGAACAAACACATCTAAGTTCTCTGCTGATTTTGCCAAACCTTTATTTTGCTTTCGAACTTAAATGTGACCTCAACTTTTCATGGATATCTTTTCTTGGAACACCATGGCTGAAAGGGTTTTCTTCTGAGATCATCTATCTGTAAATCATGTATACAGAGATTATCAAGATGGGAGGTGATTAATATGCTTCAGAATTCAAGATCCAATATGTGCAAGGTTGGTCTTCTTTAGAAGAAAGAATGTTGTCTTTAGAATAGCATATCAAGTCTTTTGAAATGTTTTGTGATACATGATCTCTGTAAATCTTTTTGTTTCACATATAGATTCGATGCAGGCCTCCTGGAAGTGAGGCATTACCTCAAGGAATTGTGGTCAAAACATCAAACTTGGAAATGCGACCTTTATGGAGTGACAGTGCAAAAAATGTATTGTTGAAATACTTTGCTTTGAAAATTTTCTAGACTAAGACACGCATAAACGCTTTCTTGTGCTACTTGGTTGATCTTATTTGATTGTCTCTTATGCTTATATTGCAATTTCAGGGCAATCCAGAGCCATCTTCAAACTTGTTAGCCATTGCCGTTGGAATTAAGCAAAAGGAAATTGTGGATCGAATTGTTAAAAAGGTACCTCAACTCCTCAAATGCCTTTCTTATCTAACTATTATTTATTATATTTAAGCTCAATAATGATCATTAATGTGCAGTTTCCTAGAAGAGATTTTGTTGTGATGCTTTTCCACTATGATGGTATTGTGGATGAATGGAGAGATTTGGAATGGAGTGATCGTGCCATACATGTGTCTGCAGTGAATCAAACAAAATGGTAATTTTGTTCTCTCCAAAATGTTTATCTTCCTTTTTCACAACTGGTGCCCCTGCATGCTAATCAGCTGCTAAGATATGTCGTTGTAGGTGGTTTGCCAAACGTTTCTTGCATCCTGACATAGTTGCTGAATACAAGTATATATTCCTCTGGGATGAGGACCTTGGAGTAGATAACTTTGATCCAAGGCGGTACGTATATTCTACATTTATGTGAAGAAGATTTGATATTCCTTAAGTTGTTCATGTCAAACTCAGTTTTGCTTGGTCTGTAACCATGTCGGAATACACAATTATGCTTGCACACACACACACACACCTTTATTTCTAACGATTAGTTTCAAACATAACATTTAAGAAACTATACGTCCCTGTTCATTTTTACCCTCATTTTTTCACACAGTTGATAGAACTGAAATTTAGATTTGGAGCTTATATCATAGCAAAAACTTTTGTAGATATTTGTCTATTATTGAAGATGAGGGACTGGAGATATCACAACCAGCACTTGATCCTTCTAGGTCAGAGGTGCATCATCAAATCACAGCACGCAGAAGGAATTCAAGATTGCACAGGAGGATATACAAGTTTAAAGGCAGTGGAAGGTGTGATGCCCGTAGCACTGCTCCTCCATGTATAGGGTAAACTAATACTAACTTCACATCTCTTGTATGCTATCTTTAAAATTCAATTCCTTTCTTATTGTGATGACCGATTTTATTTTTGAATAAATGCTTCAATTATTTGAAAAAGGAGAAATAAGCTATGACCAGGCAGAAGATTTGTTGTTATTCTTAGGCGGTTAATAAGATATGTTTTGCAGTTGGGTGGAAATGATGGCCCCTGTATTCTCAAGAGCTGCCTGGCGCTGCGCATGGTATATGATTCAGGTACGAAGTATTTTTGTAAGCACTCAGCCATATTGGTTGCACAATGACTGAGTATTTGACAACATAATGCACATTTGTTTTGGCCATCTTTATTGAACTGAGTGCCCTAACAAGATTTTGAACTTTGTGGTTAATTGGCAACGTAATGCCAAGGCATTCTGCTAATAAGATCCAGTTACCATGTTTTCTTCTTTATCTAACTTATTTCTATTAGCTGAAAGTATTCAAATATCATTACTTCATAGATACTACTTGTGTACCAAATTTGCACCATTTGTTTTATCTTCCATAAGATGATTTTTAGGGGAAAAAAGAAAGGCCATGTAAAGAAATCGTGTGTATACTTTGGGAAACTTTAAACTAAAAATCAAATACAAGCTGCTTGTAGCTTTGGCTATCTTATATGATCTCAATCTGGCTTTTTCTTGTCTGCATTGCATCTAACTTTATAGTAACTATTCCGTAATATTCCTTTGCCCTACAGAATGATTTGATCCATGCTTGGGGCCTCGATATGCAGCTTGGTTATTGTGCACAAGTAACCATTCAAACCATATAACATCCTTTTCTGATTCTCATGGGCATTCCAGTGATATTTGACTCTCATTCAGGGTGATCGTATGAAAAATGTTGGTGTGGTTGATGCTCAGTACGTAGTTCATTTGGGTCTTCCTACACTTGGCGCTATGGCTGAAAACGAGGCAAGTATTCATCAAACCCATGTAAATGGAAGGGTCTTAGGTTTAGGCAGAAACTCTACAAGGTTCTTTTGGTTGTTCCTGCTTCTGTTGGTATCATGTTGCACCGCATTATCTTGTGTTAGAATTTGACTTATTAAAGAGACATTATATTATGATAATGACTAGAATATGAAATTTGTACTCCGGATATACAAAGCTGTCTCAATTTTAATCAAGCATGTCAAATCCACTCCTAATCTCTGACTGGCTTTTGTCTTCTTGGTGATGCAGTTAAATTCTATGCAAGTTAATATTATTCAGAGAGAGCGCTTATCTAAACCGGAAGCATTGGTATGTTTTCGAACCTGAATTTGCCTAACACAAGAGCCTTTTAGTGATTTACAAAACTGTTCATTTTCTTTGAAATTGCAGGCACCATCTGAATCGCATAAAGTTGACAACAGACCTGAAGTAAGGCCACTTAGACATAAATTGCTTTCTCTTATAGTTCAGTGCATATATATGGAACCATTCTTTAGGTATAAATTATAACATGCTTGCAGGTGAGAAGACAGTCCTTCATTGAAATGCAAATGTTCCGTAAAAGATGGGAAAATGCTGCCAAGGAGGACAAATGTTGGGTTGATCCATACCAACAATCAGTTAACAAAAGCACTCACTAATTTATTTATTGGTAGTTTGTCAATACTCAGTCCCTTTCATACACATCCAAGTAACTTGAAACATCTATGTCATTTTTTCTTCAAGGTGAAGGGTTGTGAATTTGTGAGAGACAAAGACAACTGAGGTCAGTAAACATAAAGCTTCACATGTGAAATATCACTGACATTGGAACCATAGCAACCAAAGGAGCAAGTTAAAGAGCTTTTTTTTTTCTTTGTTTTTTTTTTCAGGGCTCCGTTGAGATTTTTGTTTTTTATTTTTCAATGTGTAATAGATCATTGATGGTTGTAATCTTGGTTTTGGTTGTTATTCATTATTATTCATTTAATGACAATAACAAAATGTTATCATTCTATTATTCATAATAATTAATTTATTAATATAATAAATAAAAAATATATTTGACAAGATTATCATTTGAGAGTTTAAAATTTTTAAAATTTAATGATATATAGAAAAATAATTTTAACATTCAAGGTGATTAGAGTTTTATCAAGTTAAATAGCTATTTCAATTATCCACACTGCACTGACAACTAATTATTTTATACAGCACCGACTACTTTTTTGGATTAGAGCTAAATGTACTTTTTCGGATGAGTTTAGGGATGCTGGTTACTCTTTAGTAGACATGCGTAAAAGATTTATGGTTACTCTTTAGTAGATACATGTAAAGATTTATGATTACTCTTTAGTAGATGTGTGTGAAGATTTAGAGATAGTAATGAATGGTACTAAATGCTTAAAATTTAGAGATGATAATGCATTGAAATAGATACTTAAACTTGAAAAAATTGTTATATAAAATTTTAAAAAATATATGTAGTAATTTGTTTAGATGATATTAAATTTAAATTGATTTTATATTTAAAAAGAGTTATTCATGAATTTCAAATCAATTTGTTCACTTCAAAACGTGATTAATTTTAATTTTTGAATTTGACTCAATAAAAATTTTTTTGTAGACATATGTAAATACTATATCCTTCCATATGTCAAATATACATGTAAATTCAGGAAGCTATTGTTACATTTAGATAGGTATGCTGAATCCCCTTATAAGAGGCTCAATCCATATAAACTTGTAAATTAGCTGGATTTTGGGACGAGAAAGAGAAAAATATGCATAAAGAGGCATGACTTTTTTGCTTTCGCTCTTGTTTCCCCCATTGCTGGAGTAGTACTTAACAAGCATCCACGATCAGGATCTACAATCTGCTCGACCCACTGCTTCTTCGAGAAATCAAAACATTTTGTCACGCTTAGTCATTCGACATGGAAAATCAGCGAAAGCAATTAATTCGACCCGAAGCATGAAATCAGAATAGACCTGTGGCAGGATTTTGCGAGTAATATCCATTTCTGACTAGCAACGTTTAAGGCACCCAGTTCTCCTTTTATCGAAAATACAGTAAAAGGATCCAGCCAAATACGTCGCATGAATTGGGCTAGAAAAAGATTCATCTAAATCATCTGCCGCAAACTTCAGAGTCTTTTAAGTCTGATACCAGGGCGACATGTGCTGATCTGCATACTTTGATCCTTACAATGTCTATACAAATAAAAAACAAGACAGTCTGAAGACATTGAAGTAAAAAACAATGCGGCAACAATGAATGATGTCGAGATAGGATAATCAATTTCCAACTTGGGCAGTTCAATAACCTCGTTAGCAAAAGGGGAATACAAGAAAAAGCTGAAGCAACGAGAAACAACATGCTCAGGTTTTTTAAGAAAAAGCATCCAACCATATCTACTAGTTTGAAAAATAACCCGTCAAAAATAGCTCTTTCTTCCCCCTTATCGACGTCTTCCACCGTATAAGGTTTATTGAGAGCAGTGTCGAATAACTCATAATGACTATAGATTCGGCCTGATTTCGTCTCCTTGTGAAACCCACTATCCATGGAACTTGATCGATGGGCGGAATTCCATGTTGGGATACCCGCAGCCAACTCTTGTAAACTGAACGCACCCGGATTCTGTCTGACCAATAAAGTTTCCCAATTATGTGCCCAACAATATCGCTAGGAAGGTTGGACCAATCTCTTTTGTGTTTTTTTTTTTTTTTCATAAACATACTTGCCTCTCCCTTTTGTCTCACAGCAACCACCTTTTCCTCTACTACTTCTATGTTTCATTGGATTTAATAATTCAATCATTGTGATATTAGAGGTAGGTTGGTTTTATAATTAGTATTTTAGTATTTTAGTTGGGTTAGGGTTTTTCTCCTCTTTTACCCAATCTCGAATTCGTAGGCCCACTCAACGAGGGATCGTGTGATTTGAGACCTTAGATTTCATGCAATCAATCTCATTCCTTTAAAAAGTATTTTACATAATCACTGCTACTTTGTGGAATTTTACTTAATAATTATTATGGGTATCTCCTCTTTTTTAATCTATCTTTGTAGAATTTTACACGTCTTTTCTATTATTTAATATAAAATTTAAGTAGAGATTCATGTTTTGATATTAATTCAAAATATGATCATATTTCATGATTTTCATTTTATTATAGCCTTCTAAATATTTATACACTTTTTTGTTGTTTTTTTTTTTTTTTTTTTCTTTGTTGCTTTAAACATGTTGAAGTCTCTTTCAATGGCAAGTCATTTTACATTTAATAAACTTATTCAAATGATATTAATTTCGAACGAATTTCATATTCAAAAAGAGTTATTCATGAATTTTAAATCAATATTGTTCATTGCCAAACATGACTAATATTAATTTTTTAATTTGATTCTTGTAGACATATGTAAATATGTATATCCTATACATGTAAATAGACATGCTACATTTAACTAGCTATGCTGAATTAAGTCAGCTTTTCTCCAAACACCCCTTGTAGGAGGCTCTATCCATATAAATTGCAACTTGTAAATTAGCTGGATCTTGTAAATTTGCCGGAGTTTGAGAGGAGAAATAGAAAAATATATGTAAAGATCAAGTTTCTCACTCGTTTCCCCATTGCTGGAGCTGTGCTTAATAAGCATCTAAGATTAGGATCTACAATCTGCGTACTCGGTTGCTCAACCCATTGCTTTTCCGAGAAATCGAACTTTAACAGTTTTTCACGCGTAGGCATCCGACATGGAAAATCAGGAAGGGCAATTAATTCGACCCGAAGCATGAAATCTAAATCAGAATAGATCTGTGGCCAGGATTTTGCGAGTATTGTCCATTTCTGACTAGCAACATTGAAGGCACCCAGTTATCCTTTATGGAAAATGCAATAAAAGGATCCTGCTAAATGTGTCGCATTAATTGGGCTAGAAAAAGATTCATCTAAATCAGCTGCTTCAGAGTCTTCCAAGTCTGATCACCAGGGCGACATATGCTGATCTGCATACTTCGATCCTTATAATGTCTCTGTAAAAAACAAGACAATCTGAAGACGTTGAAGTCAAAAATAATGCGGTGACAATGAATGATTTCGAGATAGGATAATCTATTTCCAACGTGGGCAGTTCAATAACCTCGTTAGTAAAAGGGGAATACAAGAAAAAGCAGAAGCAACGAGAAACGACATGCTCAGGTTTTTTAAGAAGAAGCATCCAACCATATCTACAAGTTTGAAAAGTAGCATCGTAAAAAATAGCTCTATCTTCCCCCTTATAGGCGTCCTCCACCGTATAAGGTTTATTGAGAGCGGTGTCGAATAACTTACAACGACTATAGATTCGGCCATCCCGATTTCGCCTCCATGTGAAACCCACTATCCATGGAACTTGATCGATGGGAGGAATTCCATGTTGGGATACCTGCAGCCAACTCTTGCAAACTGAACGCACTCGGATTCTGTCTGACCAATAAAGTTTACCGATTATGCGCCCAACGATATCGCTGGGAAGATTGGACCAATCCCAACTGTGTTTTTTTTTCATAAACATACTTGCCTCTCCTTTTTGTCTCACAGCAACCACCCTTTCCTCTACTTCTTCTATGTTTCCTTGGATTTAATAACACAATCACGGTGATCTTAGTGTTAGGTTGTTTTTATAAGTAGTATTATATTTTGGCAGGTTCAGGGTTTTTCTCCATTTTTTTATCCTATCCCGAGTTATTAGTCCCACTTGATGAAGGATAGTGTGATTTGAGACCTTAACCTTCATCCAATCTCCTTAAAAAGTATTTTACATAATCACTGCTTCTTTGGAAAATATTTTCTTGATTATTGTGGGTATCTTTGTAGAATTTTAAAAAGGTTGTGTTTGTTTAGTGGATTTTCTCTTTTCCTTTTTTTTCGGTTACGTCCCTCTATTGGGTTCTTAATGTGTTAAGGACCAGGGCCTAAAACTCATCAACAGGGCTATTAATCATTGGGCCCAAGGGCTGTTGTCACTTTAAACTTTTCAATTAGATATCCATTTGAGAGTTGATGAAACATTAGGGTACCGTATGCATGGCTCCCTTCTTTCATTTTTCTGACTAATTTGACATTTTGGAGCAAAAGTTAAAAAAAAAAAAAAAAACACACTAAAGCTAAGCCTTACTCCATGTCTGAAAACTGCCAAATGCCAATTGAAAGTTGAAAATACTATGGACAAAGTCAATTGCTTAAAAATGTTTTTACAATGGCAGGTAACACCGTTAAGAGAATTCGATTATTGCGAGTGGTCACGAGTATGATTGATGGCAGCATCACTGAGTCGGAACCAGACGCAGCATCTCCTTCTAAGCTTCTTTGTTTCTTCTTCCCTTCCCCATGCCTTGGCCTCCTGGGTGCTTCATCCTCACTTTCATTCTCATCATTCATGAAACTGTTTCCAGCAGCTAACTGATGGTGAGCCTTTTGTCCTTCTTGCTGATACGGTGATACCGTGTGTCTCATCATCCAACCCGCTCCTGGACCAACCATTTCTTGACCTCTATCCTGATCCGATTCTGCACTATGTCTGTCATTGGCTGGATCTTTTAAGGAGTTCTCTCTGCCAAAGAAAGATCAATGAGAGTTAAAAACTCATTCAGCCATTTCACCTCACAATTATTTGCACTCTGCTTATATCTGCAAGTTACAACGATCACTTGCTTGATTTGAACCTTCACATGGCATATTTCTCTCTCAATAGTCAATAGTATAAGTTTTAGTTTAATTTGTTGCATGGTAAACCAAAAAAGTCACTACATAAGAAATCTAATGGACTAGGAAAACGAGCATTAAAAGGAGCATCAGCTCCTCTCGTCTAAACTTAATACTTATGGAACTACATCGAGGATTTTTTCAGAGTCATTCTTCTGAGAATTCTAAAGCTGACTTTTAACTATATGCAAACATTTGCAATTATTTTGCTATATGTTTTAATCTGTGACCCTATTTGCTAAAAAAACAAGTAAAAAAAGGAATTAATAAAGTCATTTTTTATTAACACATTAATTTTGCACTATTAACTTTTCATGTTATGAAGAGAAGTGGATAATTTTTAAAATATAAATAGTTTTTTAAAATATATTACATCAAAAGTAAAAAAATCTTTTATTTATTTTTTGTTATTATTGTATTTTTTTTAATTTTTAAGTCATTTAATTGATTGAATTAGTATCCTTTCATTCATGATATGAAATTTGATCAGTTTATATGTATGATAAGATGTTTGATTTAACCAAAATTCCAAACCAATGAACATGGTATTTGTTTTACTCAGAGTGCTATACATTAGAAAAAAAAAAACAAAGAAAAATGTTTAAAAGGATATCTTGATGATTTAATTTTGAAACAAACATTAATGATCTTCGTTGTTCGCAGCTGGTGCCCCTGCATGCATATATGTCTTATCCATGCTAATCAGCTGCTAAGTTATGTTGTTGTAGGTGGCTTGCCAAACGTTTCTTGCATCCTGACATAGTTGCTGAATACAAGTATATATTCCTCTGGGATGAGGACCTTGGAGTAGATAACTTCGATCCAAGGCGGTACATATATTCTAAATTTATGTGAAGAAGATTTGATATTCCTTAAGTTTTTCATGTCAAACTCAGTTTTGCTTGGTCTGTAGCCATGTTGGAATACACAATTACACACACACACCTTTATTTCTAATGATTAGTTTCAAACATAAAATTTGAGAAACTATACATCCCTCTTCATTTTTACTCTCATTTTTTCACACAGTTGATACAACTGAAATTTAGATTTGGAGCTTAAATCATATAAAAAACTTTTGTAGATATTTGTCTATTATTGAAGATGAGGGACTGGAGATATCACAACCAGCACTTGACCCTCTTAAGTCAGAGGTGCATCATCAAATCATGGCACACCAAGGAATTCAAGATAGCACAGGTTAGTTGTGTAAGCCGGTGGAAAATCCTTTCAAGAACAAGTCTCCTGTTTCATTAAAAAGGCAAACTTAGCGGGGAAATTGTACTGACCAGGACTTCGTCAACCAGTGAGTAACTTTAATTTGTTAGTGAGAGTTCAAACCATTTTCCTTGTAAACTGAAATTCCCACTGATTAGAACATGCCATTTTGAAAATAAGAGGTATTGGTGCTTCAATAGATGGTAATTAGATGGACACGTCTCAGTAGTTGCAAAGTAGATTACGCTTTTTTGTAGGCAAGCAGTCAGAATCAAGAGCTAAACCGTTCCTTTTAACTGACAAAACTGTCCTGTGATTTCATCATAAACGAAGGTCAAGGTTGTATATTCGTGTATTTCTTAATGATGTTCTTTTATTCTTGCTAGTTATGTCATATTTCTTTTAATCTTGCTAGTTATGACACTTTCAATCCATCTTGTTTGAACAGGAGGATATACAAGTTTAAAGGCAGTGGAAGGTGTGATGCTTGCAGCACTGCTTCTCCATGTATAGGGTAAAATATTTCTAACTTCACATCTCTTGTATGCTATCTTTAAAATTCAATACCCTTCTTACTGCGATAACCGATTTTATTTTTGAATAAATGCTTCAATTATTTGAAAAAGGAGAAACAAGCTATGAGCAGGCAGAAGATTTGTTGTTATTCTTAGGCCGTTAACAAAATATGTTTTGCAGTTGGGTGGAAATGATGGCCCCAGTGTTCTCAAGAGCTGTCTGGCGCTGCGCATGGTATATGATCCAGGTACGAAGTATTTTTGTAAGTACCCAGCCATATTGGTTTCTCAATGACTGAGCATTTGACAACATAATGCACGTTTGTTTTGGCCATCTTTATTGAACTGCTTGTAGCTTTGGCTATCTTATATGATCTCAATTTGGCTTTTTCTTGTCTGCATTGCATCTATCTTTATAGTAACTGTTCCATAGTATTCCTTTGCCCTACAGAATGATTTGATCCATGCTTGGGGCCTCGATATGCAGCTTGGTTATTGTCCGCAAGTAACTTTCATCCTTTTCTGATTCTCATGGGCATTCCAGTGACACATGACTCTCATTCTCATGGTTGATGCTCAGTACGTAGTTCATTTGGGTCTTCCTACACTTGGCCCTATGGCTGAAAACGAGGCAAGTATTCATCAAACCCATGTAAATGGAAGGGTCTTAGGTCTAGGCAGAAACTCTACAGGGTTCTTTTGGTTGTTCCTGCTTTTTTTGGTATCATTTTGCACCACATTATCTTGTGTTAGAATTTTAGACATTATATTATGAAAATGACTACAATATGAAATTTGTAATCCGGGTATACAAAGTCGTTTCAATTTTAATCAAGCATGTCAAATTCACTGCTAATCTCTGACCATCTATCGTCTTCTAGGTGATGCAGTTAAATTCTACGCAAGTTAATCTTACTCAGAGAGAGCACTTATCTAAACCGGAGGCATTGGTATGCTTTCTGAACCTGAATTTGCCTAACACAATATCCTTTTAATAATTTACAAATCTGTTCATCTTCTTTGAAATTGCAGGCACCATCTGAATCGCATAAAGTTTACAACAAACCCGAAGTAAGGCCACTTAGACATAAATTGCTTTCTCTTATAGTTCAGTGCATATATATATGCAACCATTCTTTAGGTATAAATTATTACATGCTAGCAGGTGGGAAGACAGTCCTTCATGGAAATGCAAATGTTCCTTAAAAGATGGGAAAATGCTGTCAAGGAAGACAAACGTTGGGTTGATCCTTGCCAACAATCAGTTAACAAAAGCACTCACTAATTTATTTATTGGGGGCGCCCCTTTCATACACATCGAAGTAACTTGAAACATCCATATCATTTTTTTCTCCAAGGTGAAAGATTGTGAATTTGTGAGAGACGAAGACATCTGCGGTCAGTAAACTAAAGCTTCATATGTGAAATATCACTGACTTTGGAACCATAGCAATTAAAGGAGCTTTTTTTTTGTTAGATCATTAAAAGCTGGTTCAAGTTTATGATTTTTTTTTGTTTGATCATTAACAGCTGATTCAAGTTTTTTATTAAGTATGATACTGCCTAGATACTTGAAACTTGACGGGACCGTTATATAGAATCTAAGTTCTTTGCTTTTTTTTTTCAAAATATATGCAATAAAACTTATTATGATGATATTAACTTCGAGTGAATTTCATATTCAAAAAGAGTTATGCATGAATTTTAAATGAATATTGTTTATTTCCAACCATGACTAATTTTAATTTTTGAATTTGATTCTTGTAGACATATGTAAATATGTATATCCTATACATGTAAATAGACATGTTACATTTAACTAGCTATGCTGAATTAAGTCAGCTTTTCTCCAAACAACCCTTGTAGGAGTCTCAATCCATATAAATTGCAACTTGTAAATTCGCTGGATCTTGTAAATTTGCTGGAGTTTGAGAGGAGAAGTAGAAAAATATGCGTAAAGATCAAGTTTCTCACTCGTTTCCCCCATTGCTGGAGCTGTGCTTAATAAGCATCTAAGATTAGGATCTACAATCTGCGTACTCGGTTGCTCAACCCATTGCTTTTCCGAGAAATCGAACTTTAACAGTTTTTCACGCGTAGGCATCCGACATGGAAAATCAGGAAGAGCAATTAATTCTATCCGAAGCATGAAATCTAAATCAGAATTGATCTGTGGCCAGGATTTTGCGAGTATTGTCCATTTCTGACTAGCAACATTGAAGGCACCCAGTTCTCCTTTATGGAAAATGCAATAAAAGGATCCAGCTAAATATGTCGCATTAATTGGTCTAGAAAAAGATTCATCTAAATCAGCTGCCGCAAACTTCAGAGTCTTCCAAGTCTGATCACCAGGGCGACATATGCTGATCTGCATACTTCGATCCTTATGATGTCTATGCAAATAAAAAACAAGACAATCTGAAGACGTTGAAGTCAAAAACAATGCGGTGACAATGAATGATTTCGAGATAGGATAATCTATTTCCAACGTGGGCAGTTCAATAACCTCGTTAGTGAAAGGGGAATACAAGAAAAAGCAGAAGCAACGAGAAAAAACACGCTCAGGGTTTTTAAGAAAAAGCATCCAACCATACCTACAAGTTTGAAAAATAGCTTCGTCAAAAATAGCTCTATCTTCCCCCTTATAGGCGTCCTCCACCGTATAAGGTTTATTGAGAGCGGTGTCGAGTAACTTACAACGACTATAGATGCGGCCATCCCGATTTCGGCTCCACGCGAAACCCACTATCCATGGAACTTGATCGATGGGAGGAATTCCATGTTGGGATACCTGCAGCCAACTCTTGCAAACTGAACGTACCCGGATTCTGTCTGACCAATAAAGTTTCCCGATTATGTGCCCAACAATATCGCTGGGAAGATTGGACCAATCTCTTCTGTGTTTTTTTTTCATAAACATACTTGCCTCTCCTTTTTGTCTTTCAGCAACCACCCTTTCCTCTATTTCTTCTATGTTTCCTTGGATTTAATAATTCAATGACGGTGGTCTTAGAGGTAGGTTGTTTTTATAAGTAGTCTTTTATTTTGGCAGGGTTAGGGTTTCTCTCCTTTTTATTAGTCCTACTGAATGAAGGATAGTGTGATTTGAGACCTTAACCTTCGTCCAACCAACCTCACTCCTTAAAAAGTATTTTACATAATCACTGCTTCTTCGTAGAATTTTTCTTGATTAGTATGGTATCTTTGTAGAATTTTACACGTCTTCTCTAGCTAAAAAGGTTGTGTTTTTTTAGTGGATTTTCTCTTTTCCCTTTTTTTCCTTTGATGTCCCTCTATTGGGTTCTTAATGTGTTACGATCAGAGCCTAAAACTCATCAACAGGGCTATTAATCATTGGGCTTAAGGGCTGTTGTCACTTTAAACTTTTCAATTAGATATCCATTTGAAAGTTGATGAAATATTAGGGTACTGTGTGCATGGCTCCCTTTTTTTGTAAAAAATTTTTCTCACTAATTCGACGTCTTGTAGCAAAAGTAAAAAAAAAAAAAAAAAAAAACCCTAAAGTTAAGCCTTTCTCCATCTCTCCAAACAGCCAATTGCTAATTGAAAGTTGAAAAGATATATAGACATGCAAATTCAGTTAAAAATGTTCTACAATAGCAGGTAAGGCAGGTAACATGGTTAAGAGAATTTGATTGCGAATATTAAAAAAAATAAATAAAAGAAGAGAAATAATAAAAAAATTTTAGCTTTGAAGTGTGAATAACACTTTTTTAAAGATAATTCTGTCTTTAGGATATAACAAAACATCAAACTTTCTAATCAAAAGCAATAAAAATAGTTATATTAAAAGATTTATTTATAATGAATGAATAGACATTAATTTTTATTTTAGATAATTAAGACTTTTCGTATAATCATAACTTTTATGAATAACAGTATTTTTATTTTCAAATACTTATGACTATTTATCATGTAATAATTGTTTCTGTTCAAATATAATTATTTAAAATATGAATATAAAAATTAATTTTACTCATTAATAATTAAATTTTTTTATCCAATGTGGGTGCACCATATTTTAAACTAATAACAATTTTTCACTAGCTTGGAATGTTACTACTTAATTTTTACTTTTCATACAAATAAATATTATGAATACAAAAATGTATTTTTCAATTTGAACTTTTAATTCGTGTATATATCTTAGAATTCTGATAAAGTTGATGGTGTCCATAGATTAAACCTCAACTCTTAATATTAGAATTGAAGATATAACACACATAATACTTATTTATTCTTTTGTCAAATATTTATAATTGTTTTTAGCACTATTATAGTCATGTGCTTATCCTATTCATAAATATTTATAAAAGAGACCACAATTCTTCTTGTTAAAGCGGCATCACTTTTATATTTATATAAGTAGAGTTTCTATTATGTCTCCATTGCTTTAGACATTTAAAACTCCATTAAGAGTATAAAAACTCATCATCCTCACGCAATGAATCACACTAATTTTTAAAATTTGAATAGATTTTACTGGTGTTTAATAGACACATAACAATAATTTGTTTTTACTCAAACTTTGTTATTAGAAGTTACTAATTTAAAGGTGGGTTATCATTATTGATGCCTACTAGTAAGGGTTTAAATCCACTATACTTGTAGTACTACTAACAAAATATTTTGAAATTCAATTTTTTTTTATGGTAATTACCCTCACTTGAGATTTAATTTCTAATATAATCACTTTATGCTAATATATCCAAACTTTTTATTTTGCATATCATTTGTATGCTCTAAACATTGTTGCCTCATTCTTATCAGTTAATTGGTTTTGGTTATGGTCACAACTCTATATTTATTAATTTTAATCATTCTATTTTCATACTTTTATACATTTTTAATATAATTATATTTCTAGTATAATTGGATAAATTTAATGAATAAATCAAATAATTTTAGTCATTTTAAGACTGTTAAAGATCTTTTTATGACTTTACTTTAATAAGTGTTTAAACTTATTAGCTTATATAATTTTCTCATAAAATTATACTAAAATCTTATAACAATAAGGTGGTAATTTTTATTTTTTTTATTCTTATCATCCCCACCATGTGCAAGTATACATTCTTTTATTAAAGAATAGCTCATCCAACTATCAATATATCATATATACTTAATCAAGTTAACATTTTATTTATCTTTTCACTATTTGGTATTTTTCTTTTTAAGTATGAGGCTTCCAAATCCATCCTTAGTAAAAGATAATTAGCTAATATCTTAATATTTCAATAAAAGTTCTAAAACTTTTATATGTTAACTCAATATAAGAGTTTATCTCAATAAATAGATTTCAAATAAAATCATGCTTTTATAGTCTCCTTTTAAAATTTTTATGTCAATTCACAAATATTTATACGAATATATTTCATTATAGACAATTAATAATTTTTATTACCATGAACAAAACCATTTTCATCACCCAAATGGATCAAATAGCATTCTTTTTACTATTATAAAAGTTTTCAAATTCGTAAGATCTTTGAATCAATTATGGCTTCCAAAGTAAATTTATTTTGAAATTTTCACTATATAAAATCATAAATGATAAATCATTTGTACAATTCATGAATTAGATCATATACATAACAAAAAATTACCACAATGTGATTAAGATTGTGGCATCAATTTTGGCTTATGGCTATTCTAAGCTAACCATAATAATCCACCTCATATCTACAAAGAATGTAGATTTGACTATTAAAATTATTTCATTTATAATGATGGCTTTTAGTGAAAATCAACAATTTCAAATGTTATCATGAGTTTTCAATACATATAGTATTTGCCCAATGGCCAATTCCCAATTCATGATTATTGAAACATCTAAACTTGATTTTAAAATTTTTTGAAAACTTTATTTCTCCAGCATTGTGTAAGCCATATATCTCTGTTATTTATCACTTTTAATTGGCCAAAATATTTTCAGATATATAATAAATTCAAACTTTACTTATGGGATCAATATGCCTACATACAATAAGAGTTTATAGTATATTTAACTTCAAATTTAAATACTTTCACAATCATTTTTTGACCAATATCTTTATATCCAGATCACCATATCAATGCAAGTCATGAAATATGAATCCAAAAAATCATTTTCATAAAATAGTATAAACAATAATTATAATATAAGTTCTACTCATATTTCATGCAAAAATCCACGATGAATTTACATTGTTTAAATCATTGATTGGCTAACTCTATGGCTTACAGCTTATACAAACCAATATTATTATCTAAGCCCATATGTTAATATGGTATATAATCAGTAACATCTTTGTCATTGTCATGAAACTATTAAAAACCTCAAAAACTTATTCACATTTTATTTTAATAGCTTGCAAAAGGCCTTTTTTTTTTTGTACAAGAAGCAAAAATACCTTTATTGTATTTAATAAATAATGTATTGATTGGATGATGGTATTTTATCTTCATAGTCCATATCTTTTTTATATCTATAAGAAAGAAAATTTCACCCGATTCAGTTTATTTTAATAATATATGACAAACTGTACTAATGTTTACCATGCCATCAGAAAATAGAATTAAACACATGCATGTATTGGTGTCTTTAGAACATTGAATTTGTATGTTCTTTTTTAATTTATAAACATGCCTAATTAGACATTGGTGTGCATATTTCAAAATGCTAGTAATTGACAAATGTTTCAATAATTTTTAATGGTATGCCTTTTTGTTTAATCAATATCCCATATGTGAAAAGCAACAATGCTTTTTTTTTTTTTTGGGTAACCATTGATTTACTCTTTAACGGCTTTTTATAATTTTTACTTTGTGATCGTTCACAATAAAATTTTATTTTGTAAAATCACTTCTAATGTAATACACCTAGTAAGCAAAATACATGTCACACTGCCTATGTTTCTGATAATAATCATTATTTAGTTTATTATCCACCAATTAATAAATGAAACACCATATATTAATAATAATTATTCACGTATATTAATTTAACTTTAATTGGGTTTCATGAAAATTAAACACTAGTAAAAAATTTGAACCAATAATAAATTATATACATATATATATATATCAACATTTGATTTATAAATGACCATCGAAGATAGAATTATACAAATAGCTTGACTCAACTTATTATCTTAATTTTGGTGTCATGATTTAATAATAAAACTAATCTTTTCGTAAAATTTTATTTTTTGTATATATTCTTTACTTGCATCTAATTTCTCATGGTAAATTCTTTTATCCATTTCTATTTGTTTTCATAGAAACTGTGAGACAATTTACCTGTTCTATATATAATCAAGACGTGACAATTAAAAAATCAACCATTCTATTATAATCTAATTTAATTTGTTACTTGATAACAAGTGATAATTATTTTGGTTATAAATCAATTCATGTCTTTCTCTTTTATGTTTTTAGATTATTTCCCATCATAGTCTTTATAAGCATTGATTTGTCAAATAAATACAATACAATTTATTAAACTCAATTATGGAGACAATTTCAGCATATGAATAAACTTACGCAATATGTAATCAATATTTTGCATATTGTGTTTTGATTTTACATGCTAATGAAATAAATTGTTAATGTGTTTATTTCATTCGGTCAATCTTTTTACCAACAATTATGTAAAAAATAAAATACATACCTCTAATAAAAGATTTTTATAAAAATTAACATTTTGGTCCATAAAAACATTAATCTTTTGACACCTGAGCCTCCTCTAATATTGATCTCAAAATCATGCCAATTTCTTTTCTTTATATCTTCCTCATACAAAATATAAATGTGCAAATATTTAGAAGGCCATAACAAAATGTAAATCATGAAACACGATCACAAAACAGATACTACTTTAAGAGCTCACCACCAAGTTTAAAAGTGAAGTGATTTGATTTCCCGCAAGATATAATTGCTACAAAAGCGATAAATATATCAGAACCTTGATGCATGGACCACACCAACTTTTGCTCTTCGCATCCAAGAAAGAAGTATGCAAGAGAAGCACACCTGTTGGGCTTTGAAATTCTCAAGTGGTTCAAAACCAACCCCTTTAAAACCATTGAAGCTCAAATCAGTAACCTGGAAAGGATATAGTCTAAATCAATTACAAAGATATTCATAAATATCAATATAACAAATAAGTCCTTACATATGTTTTTATGCGCATGAGAGACAAAAATGTGTAGTTCACTAATTAGCAAACCTTCACTCGTGTCAATATCTCAACTCTTTCCAATGTTGATAAGAGATTGTTTTTGAGAAAACAAACTGCCAAAATAAAAGAATTAGTAGAATTTCAGGAAAACTTCTCATGTAATTTTCTAATCACATCCCATAATCCTGCCAATATGAACAGCAAATATGAGACTGATTTCACTTCAGTTCCTAAATTATCTCATCCATGCCTCAAACTTATTTCTAAATAATACTTATGAGCACACATGCTTTACGATTATAAAGTTGTGGGAACAAAATTTATCAAAACATTAATAATAAATTTAGAATCCAGGCTCTCCATCTTTACGTAGAGGAGTTTGCAGAAATTGGGCCAAGATTTATAACTAGTATTCTGGTTTTTCCCCGCAACTCTCCCTTAATACACTTGTTGAAAACCTGCAAATGACTTCAGATTAGACCTATACGGTATAACCTCAAGAAATCATATTTAGAGATAAATAAAAGTTGAATGATCATTCCCAAAAAGTTGAAAAATACATTCAGATAGAAACCAGAATTGTAGAAACCAAAAAATCCTTTCTTTTAAGAAAGAAGAGAAAGTTCATTTAATTTCCAAAGAAGATTTCAGACTAGCTGAGGCAAAGAAAAAAGAATCCCAAGGACAGCAATCTTGATGGCAATGACAAAACGTGAAAACAAGTCAAGATTAGATACAAAGAATATTTAGATGCAAAGAATATTTGTGATTATGGTCTTTGTTTCTTTTGGGTTTCTTGATGTTATTGTGTTTTATTTATGGCTTTGGATTTTCTTGCTAGTTTGATGCAAACCTTTTTCCTATCCCACATAATGTGAAATGTACTATGATCAATGAAGAAATGTGAAAGAAATTCCAAATGTTGATCAGAGTAAACAAATTACCTGTTGTGCAACGTGATCATCAAGAGCACTTAAAGGGTCATCAAATATGTACACATCCGAATAGGAGTAGACAGCTCTAGCCATGGAAACTCTCTGCTTCTGCCCGCCACTTATATTCACCCCTCTTTCACCAATCTGAGTGAGATCACGATCCTGAAGGACAATGTGAAATAGTTAATTAGTTATGGAGACATTCCACAATAAGAAAAAGAAATTACAAAGATAAATGTATTAAATCCACTTTTTATTAACACGTAAAACAAAGGAATTAGTAAAGTCATGTTTTATTAACACATTAATTTTGCACTATTAACTTTTCATGTTATGAAGAGAAGTGGATAATTTTTAAAATATAAATAGTTTTTTAAAATATATTACATCAAAAGTAAAAAAATCTTTTATTTATTTTTTGTTATTATTGTATTTATTTTTTAATTTTTAAGTCGTTTAATTGATTGAATTAGTATCCCTTGATTCATGATATGAAATTTGATCAGTTTATATGTATGATAAGATGTTTGATTTAACCAAAATTCCAAACCAATGAACATGATATTTGTTTTACTCAGAGTGTTATACATTAAAAAAAAAAAGACAAAGAAAAATGTTTAAAAGGATATTTTGATGATTTAATTTTAAAACATTCAAATATACATTTTTATGATAGAATTTATAAATTTTTGGTTTATATATCAAGAGTAAATGCAAATAGAAACATGAAGGACTCATTTTCCATTATTTAATGCAAGATTCAAGGAAGCTTATTTCCATGTAGCAAAACGAAAATATACTATCTAGTTCTTAATTAGATTACATAAAATTTAAAATATAAGGAACAATTAAACTTTATTTTGGATTATAAAGAATAAGTTATATAAGCAAGCCAAACCTTTTAATTTATTGTATACTACTTAGCAATAATTTTTAAAAATTTTTGTAGAAATAATTAATACATTTTAAATTATTTTCCCTTTGAAAAAAAATAAAAACATAAATTTATAATTAATTTAACGGCACATGAGCCATAAAATATCCGTCAACGGTCAAAGACTGTAATCTGTTTTTACGGTTAGACGCGCCATAATCGAATAAAATAAGATTTAGTGGACGATTTCGCGGTAGTGACCGTTAAGGGTGCTAAGTCGGTTAAAGGCCTCCAAATAAATGTGATAAAGCGCACACCCAAACACAGCTCTCTGTATTTTCTGTTTCTCTCCGCTCATCTTCTTCAACTCCTTCGGTAAAGCCGGCATTATCAGCCTCTTCTTCTTTAAAAAAGATTACTTCTTCGTCACCGGACATCACTGCCAGTAGCACAAGTGGAAAAACGATCTTCAAGGTTTCTTCTCCAACCGCCCAATCATCAACTGTATCCAGTGGTTTAAGAGCTGGGTCTTTGTTATTGTCTTCACAGAGTTCTAATTTATCCGGAAGAAAGAAGCGACCCTAGAAAGTAGAGATTCATGTTTTGATATTAATTCAAAATATGATCATATTTCATGATTTTCATTTTATTAAAGCCTTCTAAATATTTGTACATTTTTTTGTTGTTCCTTTTTTTTTTTTTTTTTCCTCTCTGTTGCTTAAAACATGTTGAAGTCTCTTTCAATGGGAAGTCATTCTCCACCACAGGTTTGTTTCCTTGTTTTCCTTTTTTGGTTATTATTGGTTATTCTTTATGTAATTTTATAGTTTATTATATACGGTTGATGTAATCTGTGTCATATTTTCCTGCACAGGCTTTAGCAGCCAGCAAAAACAGAATATCACTTCTAAAGGGTTTTCCTTATCTTCTAGTCTCTGAGATTAGTGAGTGCCATGAGTTTGTAATATAAATTGGTATAAACTAGATCATAATGTGTTTTGTAAATGTGCTGTGGTGCAGAATTTGCCAGTGGAAGAGAACCCAATACTTAAAATGCCTAATATGGAAGCAGCTTCCATTGTACTTATCGGGCCCACCTTGAAGAAATTTACCAATATATGTACTATTACTTTTAGTATATTTATACGTTGGTTTAGGAGCCCCAAATTACTTGTCACTGCTAGGTTTTGTACATGAGTTTTGCTCTTACTAACTTTAATATTCTTGGAATCTATAGGTTGAAAATGACACAGGTAATTTGATTTATGAGGTTTCAGGGCATTTTCAGTATAGTCAACCAAAGATGCAATTGGTAAGTTCATCTACTTCGAATGTACCTCAAGTGTGGATGACGGGATTGGTAAGCCACATTTTTCTGCTGATTTCCTCATGCATTAACACTTGACTGTTGCACTTGCACATGCTTCCTTGCACATGCTTCCTTGCACATGCTAGGAGCTATCTGCCAGTCATTTCCACTGTTATTAAAGTCGTCGTAGTTTTTGTAGGCTGTGTTTGTAAATATTTTACCTATATACATATACATCTTACACACTCTCGCTCATGTCATGTTTCTCCTGTCTAAGTTTCTATTTGATATAGTTGTTTTGTTTCTCCATTGCATTATCACAGATTGGATCTTAGGGAATTTAGTGTGCGCAACCTCGATTTAGTGGCTTGAACTTGTCACCAAATCTAGACGAAAATTAATTCTTTAATCAGACCTCCTAAAATAAATGCATCCCATTTTATTGGAAAATTTTGTCTATTTATGTCATTTAATGCTGCACCATATCTGAGAATTTCCCTTTATTTTTTTTTTTCGTTTGTAAAAGCCTGGTGGAACTTCCATACGATTTAAGGTCCAATAAGAAACTTAGTACTTTGGTTGCTAGTCTTCCATGTGTCGTTCCATTTTTGGGGTATTTTCTTGGCCCAATTTCTGCAAACTCCTCTACGTAAAGATGGAGAGCCTGGATTCTAAATTTATTATTAATGTTTTGATAAATTTTGTTCCCACAACTTTATAATCGTAAAGCATGTGTGCTCATAAGTATTATTTAGAAATAAGTTTGAGGCATGGATGAGGGAATTTAGGAACTGAAGTGAAATCAGTCTCATATTTGCTGTTCATATTGGCAGGATTATGGGATGTGATTAGAAAATTACATGAGAAGTTTTCCTGAAATTCTACTAATTTTCCTTCTACTAATTCTTTTATTTTGGCAGTTTGTTTTCTCAAAGACAATCTCTTATCAACATTGGAAAGAGTTGAGATATTGACACGAGTGAAGGTTTGCTAATTAGTGAACTACACATTTTTGTCTCTCATGCGCATAAAAACATATGTAAGGACTTATTTGTTATATTGATATTTATGAATATCTTTGTAATTGATTTAGACTATATCCTTTCCAGGTTACTGATTTGAGCTTCAATGGTTTTAAACGGGTTGGTTTTGAACCACTTGAGAATTTCAAAGCCCAACAGGTGTGCTTCTCTTGCATACTTCTTTCTTGGATGCGAAGAGCAAAAGTTGGTGTGGTCCATGCATCAAGGTTCTGATATATTTATCGCTTTTGTAGCAATTATATCTTGCGGGAAATCAAATCACTTCACTTTTAAACTTGGAGGTGAGCTCTTAAAGTAGTATCTGTTTTGTGATCGTGTTTCATGATTTACATTTTGTTATGGCTTTCTAAATATTTGCACATTTTTTTGTTGCTCCCTTTTTTCTCTAGTTTCTCTCTGTTGCTCAAAACACGTTGAGGTCTCTTTCAATAGCAAGTCAATCTCAACTACAGTTTGTTTCCTGTTTTCATTGTTTGGTTATTATTTGTTGTTCTTAATATAATTTTATAGTTAATTATCTATTGTTGTTGTAATCTGTGTCTTATTTTCCTGCACAGGTTTCAGTTAACAGCAAAAACAGAATATCTCCTCTAACGGGTTTTCCTTATCTTCCAGTCCCTGAGACGAGTAATTGCAGTGAGCTTGTAATATAAAGCCGTATAAACGAGATTATACTGTGTTTTATAATTGTGCTCTGATGCAGAATTTGCCAGTGGAGGAGAAATTTATACTTAAAATGCCTCATCGAAGCAGTTTCCATTTTGCTTATTGGGCCCACCTTGATGAAATTTAACGATAGATGTACTATTACTTTTAGTATATTTGTATGTTGGTTTAGGAGCCCCAAATTTATTGGTCACTAAGCTAAGTTTTGTACATGAGTTTTGCTCTTACTAACTTGAATATTCTTGGAATCTGTAGGTTGGAACATGACACAAGTGTTTCGATTCATGAGGTTTTAGGGCTTTTTCAGTTTCGCTTAATTAAAGATGCAATAGGTTAATTCATCTCCTTTGAATGTACCCCAGTGCGGATGATGGGATTGTAGTTGAGCCAAGAACTTGCTTGGGACAGGAACAATCGTCCTGGTAACTTCTTATCTTTTATCTCAACATTTATTTCTTTAAAATTTAAGAGTATAGTCATATCTCATCCTTACTTCCTTAAACACGTTAAATTTTAAATATTTGAACTTTTGTAGTGGAATTGGAAAAAAGTAGTTGCACTCATTTACTTAATTGGAGAATGGAGAACAATTGTTGTACAGGAGAATGTGAGACTAGAGAGAAATTTGTTATTTAGGACTGTAAGATTGTCTCATTTTAACCAGTTTCATCTGCTTGATGGCTTTGTGCTTTCTCGCAATATGGCCTAGAGTGTATTAGAGTGATTCAAATGACTTAGTGTTCACATTACGTGGAAAATAAACTTTTTGTTGCACCTGAATGGTTTTGAGTGTTCATATTATGTGAATGCTGCATTTGTTAATTTCTTTTGAATCTTTTTTCTTTCAATGCGATAGATGTGAATAATATTGCAGCACCTCCAGCAGTTTCCACTGTTCGGAGAAGCTGGGCTTCAGGAATATATTCTGGGGTGGGAAAATATTCTGGTGGATTGGGATCAAGTCTCTCTATTTGGTATAGAGAAACTAATGATGGAACAATCATTCTCATCAATGGGGCAAACTCTGTAACTTAGAGGTCGCTGATGCAGATAGCAACAGCCGTTTGGTGTTTTAAGTGTTCCATTGTACTACTTTTTCTGGGAGGCTAGACGTACTCTATAAAAAGTTTAATGCTAGTGGCTTGAACTTGTTTCCCCATTGCATTATCAGAGATTGTTTCCCCTTTGTGCATAGGTATGCAGAAGGAAGAATTTTTGTGCAAGTCTTGATTTCTATGCACATGCGCACTGTAAGCGCATTTCTTCCCTTTGTACAAATCAGTCTTATCTTCTCCACTTTTAAATCTTGCTTCTTTGTGTTGGGAAGGGAATGGAATCCTGAAGGTTGTAAACCCTGATGTACACGGGGAACTGGTCGATGGTAACATAATCAAGGGTCGAGCTAAGGTTGCACGGTGTGGTGGGACTGCCGGGAAGGATGTTGCTAGGTAAGAATGGTTCTTAAAGTGGTTTCAGGAATTGTCTATACTGATACTTGTACATGCTTGCTTGGGGATTTGTATTAAACGAAACATTCTTTGTGTGAAGGGAAAGGAATCCTGAAGGCTGTAAACCCTGATGTACACGGGGAATTGGTGGATGGTAACATAATCAAGTGTCAAGCTAAGGTTGCATGGTGTGGTGGGACTACCGGGAAGGATGTTGCTAGGTAAGAATGGTTCTTAAAGTGGTTTCAGGAATTGTCTATACTGATACTTGTACGTGCTTGCTTGTGGATTTGTTTTAAATGAAACATTCTTTGTGTGAGGGGAATGGAATCCCGAAGGCTGTAAACCCTGATGTACACGGAGAATTGGTCGATGGTAACATAATCAAGGGTCAAGCTAAGGTTGCGTGGTGTGGTGGGGCTCCTGCGAAGGATGCTGCTAGGTAAGAATGGTTCTTGAAGTGGTTTCCTGAATTGTCTATACTGATACTAGTAGATTTGTTCTAAATGAAACATTCTTTGTGTGCTGGGAATGGAATCCTGAAGGCTGTAAACCCTGATGTACACGGGGAGCTGGTCGATGGTAGCGTAATCAAGGGTGATGCTAAGGTTGCATGGTGTGGTGGAACTCCTGGGAAGGGTGTTGATAGGTAGAATGCTTCTTAAAGTGGTTTTAGGACTTGTCTATACTGAAACTTGTACGTGCTGGTGCTTGTGGATTTGTTTTAAATGAAACATTATGGATAACTTGTTTGTCGTCCACATTTTTCAGGTGGTTAAGGTGAAGATATAACAGCAGCTCAGTGGTAATTGCTGAAGCAGAGGATGAAGAATATCAATTGACCATAGATGACGTTGACTGCGGTTTGGTCTCTATGTATACGCCAGTAACAAAAGAAGGTGCCAAAGGTGAGCCTCAGTACAAGTTAAAAGATTATGTTAAAGCAGGTATGTGGCAAAAATATTTTTGAATTTGAAAAAACTCTTTTTTGTGCTGACGTAACATTAATGATATGCGTTAATTAAATTTTTTAGTACATATTAATATTTTATTAAATATTAACGTCACATTAGTATTTTTTATTAACGGTGTTAAGGGTTAGATACTTTGATATGGTTTAAGTACTAAATTAGAACTTTTTCCATTTAAGTACCACGTTAGAAAAATTATAAAAGTTCAGAGTCTAACGGGACATTATCCTAACAAATT